TGTATGTCTATAAAGAGGGCTTGAATAATAAGGTGGGGGTGGGGAGAGTGGGAAAAAAGACCGTTTAAATAGACGATGGCATTATAGTTGGCGTCTTGACACTGCCATTGCTATCCATCAGCTTCAGAACTCAAGCCGGTAGCCGTTTCTTTAAAGTCTTATAAAATTCCCCTGTACGAGAACATTGGGAAAGGTCTTTTCTAGTAAAGTGGATAAAGCGTACCACATTAATTTGTCCCTTTTTTCCTCAAAGGAGAGCTCATTTTGTATAACAGGTGATAGGAGTTAAATGCCCACAGAAGCCAACGTGCTAGTTTATAAATCTAAGCAAGCTGTTTAAGTTTTGTATGTGACATGTCATTTTCTCAGCGTCTTTTCTGTTTTCCACTGGTGCCTATCATTTGATAAGAAACAACACTTTCAGTTTTGGAACTCCTAGTCAAAGGAAGCTCCTAATTATTAACAAGTTTTATCTCTAAAGAATAGCAAAAAGCAAAGTAAACCAAAACAACAACCTCCTAGAGGAGTACTTAAGTATGAAATTCCTTTTGATGGAACATTTTAAACCATAGCTTTTAGAAATGCTCATACTTATTAGTTTCTAAGTTTCTGCTTGAATAATTAAGAATCTGTAATTAAGTGGGCAATTCATTAAAGAAGAATCTCTTCAGAGAAATTAAGTATTTCATCATCTGATGTACTTATAACAGCACATAAAACTAATAGAATCACAGATCTGAAGGACCCATAGAGTACACCTCATCCACCTTTCTGACATTGACAGTTAACCATCCAAGCAGATGACAACCATCCAAGCAGATGACAATCTGCCCTATTTGTGAAGCTTCCAGAGGGGTTCCTGTAGTTATACAATAGACAATGCAACATACACAAACCAATTAACAGGTCTACCGAGAGCCAGAATATAGTGACTGCTTAAAATACATAATAAATGGATTCTATCCAACAACTGATTACTTAACTTAGCAAAATTTTGATTATAAGAATGAACAGATGGGGGATAAAAGATTGGGAGCCATTGGTTCCATAGTTTAAATGATTCCTGAATAACAACGTAGAAAATCAGATTCTTTATATACGTAAATAAAATAAAATAACCTAGTGTTGGTGAGAATGTGGAGAAATTGGAACCCTTGTGTACTGTTGATGGAAATGTAAAATAGTGCAACCACTTATATAAAACAGTATGGTGGTTCCTCAAAGAATTAAAAATAGAATTATCATATGATCCAGCAATTCCACTTCTGGGTATATACCCAAAAGAATTGAAAGCAGGGATTTGAAGAGATATTTGTACACCTGTGTCCATAACAGCATTATTCACAATAGCCAAAAGGTAGAAGCAACCCAAATGTCTGTTGACAGATGGACAAATATGATATATACATACAATGGAATATTATTCAACCTTAAAAAGGAAGGAAAATCTGACACATGCTACAGCATGGATGAACCTTGAGGACATTATGCTAAGTGAAGTAAGCCAGTCACAAAAGGACAGATACTATATGATTCCACTTATATGAGATATCTAGAGTAGTCAAATCCATCAAGACAGTAAATAGAATGGCGGTTGTCAGGGGCTGGGGAGAGGAGGAATGAGGAGTTATTGTTTAATGGGTACAGAGTTTCCATTTTGCAAGATGAAAAGAGTTTTGGAGATGGATGGTGGTGATGGTTGTACAACACTGTGAATGTACTTAATGCCACTGAACTATACACCTAAAAATGGCTAAGATGGCAAATACTATGTTATGTGTATTTTGCCATTAAAAAAAATATATATGTAGGGACCAGCCTGGTGGCACAGCCGTTAAGTGCACGCGCTCCGCTTTAGCAGCCCGGGGTTTGCAGGTTTGGATCCCGGGCACACGCTGACGCGCCTCTCGTCAAGTCATGCTGTGGCAGTGTCCCATATAAAGTAGACGAAGATGGGCATGGATGTTAGCCCAGGGCCAATCTTCTTCAGCAAAAAAAGGGGAGGATTGGCATCGGTTGTTAGCTCAGGGCTAATCTTCCTCACACACACACACACACACACACACACAAACACACACAAAAATATTTATATATACATATATATATACACAATATAAAAAACTAGGCCAATGTTTCTTAATCTCTTTTTTATTATTGCTCCCTACACAAGGGCTCCTTTTAGGCATTTTTTTCCCCTAATGGTCCCTCTCCAAAGAATTGTTAATATAAGAGATATGCCATATATCTGTACAGTATATATACTGTGCTTTATTTATTAAAAGAGTAAGATTTCTTTTGCCCTCCTAGAACTACTTTTTACCCTGGACATTATCCCCCGCATTGAGAATACATGTATTAGGCTGTAAGGACATGAGATGAGCATCCATGAGGGCAAAACACAGGATTTCTGACTGGTATATGTTAAAAGTACAGGTAGGAATCATAGAATCACAGACTAAAAGAATATGTGCAAAAATATTAAAAAACATCCATTCACCCATTGTTTTACTTAGATATTTTCTAAGCACCTATTATGTGTTAGGCCCTGTGCTAAACACTGAGGATACAATAATGAGCAAAAATAGACATGTTCCTTACCCTCATAGTACTTGTAATCCAGTGGGTGAGACAAATATTTGTCAATAATCACACAAATATAAAACAGCAACCTCAGTAAGAGCCTCAAAAGAGAGATACTCGGTGCTATAGGGAGGCCAGGGGGAGTTCCCTGTGAAAGTGATGAGCTGATAGAGAGCTGAGGTTGGAAGGTGAAGGGGCTCTAACTAGGCAAAGGGGGAGGGAGACCTTTCCGTGGAGAAGAGATAGCCTGTACAAAGGACTGGTGGCCAGAGGGAGCATGGCACCCACAAGAAACCAAAAGAAGACATGAATGGCTGGGTCACAGGGATCTGGGTGGAAAGTGATGCAAAATGAAACTAGCCCAAGGTTTCCCAGCCTTGGCACTGTTGACATTTGGGGCTTGACAATTCTTTGTTGTGGGAGGCTGCCCTGTGCATTACAGGATATTTAGCAGCACTCCTGGCCTCTACCCCCTAGATGCCAGTAGCAACTCCCCTCAGGTTGTGACCACCAAAAATGTCTCCAGACACGGCCACATGTCCTCTGGGGAGCAAAATCACATTTGGCTGAGAACCACTGAAGAGACAGAGGAAGGGGCCAGACTGTGTAGGCCCTGTTAAAGAGTTTTGCTTTATTCTGTGAGCAATAGGATGCCTTTTAGGGAAATTAAAGGGGAGGAGGGAGGACAATCAAAATCAAAACTGCATTTCTAAAAGATCTTCTGCCAGCAGGGAGTAAAATGGAGGGGAGGGAAAGCCCAGGCCAGAGGAAATGTGGATAGACCAATTAAGAGTCTAAACCAGTTTAGAAGCTCCTAGATTAGTCTTAGTAAAAGATAATAACAGCTTGGACTAGGATAGTGGGTGGTGGAGATGTAGAGAAGTGGATGGATTCGAGAGAGAGGAAGTAACATCAAGAGGACCTGGTGACAGATTGGACAGATAGGGTGAGGCAGAAAGAGACATCAGGAATGATTCATGCTGGAGGAAGTGGATGGGTGGTGGTGCTATTTACTAAAATGGGGAAGCTGGAGATGACCCAGCTTTTGTGGGCGAAGGTTTGTGGGCAAAGACCACACAATTTGATTACATTAAATTTGAGGGGTCTTTGAGATGCCCAGGAACAGATGACAAATAGGTAATTGGATACGTGGGTCTGGAGCTCTAGGAAGTCTGGTTTGGAGATACTAGTTGGGGAGCAAATGGTCTAAAGAAGGTAATCTCAGCTGTGAAAGTGTACTATCTCCTAAGGAAGCAGTATAGGAGGAAAAGATGAGGTCCTAGGACTGGGGCTTGAGTGTGGCCACCGTTTCATGACCTGATAGAGAAAAATATACCTCAAGCGTCAAAGAAGGGATGGCTGGAAAGTTGGCAAGAGGAATGAGAATGTGGAGTTCCAGAAGGCCAGGGAAGAGAGTGACTCAAGAAACAGGGAATGGTAACCTATGTCAGATGCTCCTGAGAGATTATGTAAGATGACTAGATAAAGTGTGCTGGATGTGGAGAAGAGGTCATTGTTGGTCTTAGTGAAAGGAGTTTGGGTGGCTTGATGGAGACAGGAGCCAGATGGGAATGGGTGAAGAGTAGGAGGTGAGGAAATGGAGACAGTGAGTACAGGTCACATCTTGGGAGGTTGGACCATGCGAAGGAGGAGAGACATAAGGTGGAATCTGGGGAAGGATGTGATGATGTTTTCAAATGAGAGGGACATGAGCATGTTTCAGTGTCAATTGGGAAATATCTGGTTGAAAGGAGCTGGATATCCAAGAAGGAGAAGGGATGCTTCAGAGGTGGGAGAGAATGGCCTTAGAGAAGCGGAGCAGAATTGTCCCCCACAGTGCAGGAGGAAACAGGAGAGCATGATTCAGGTGGACGTGAATTTTAGGGGAACACTATTCAACACAACACATGAGATTGTGTTAATGCATTTTAGAAGTATTATAAGATTAAAACAAAAATATCTTTAACACCTAACATTTATGGATCTCAAGTGCCTCATATGCACAGTGTCACATACTCCCTTCACTGTTGTGGTGTCTCCACTGTCCCCATGTTACAAATGAGGAAACAGAGGCTAAGAGTAGCTGAGTGACTAGCCCAGGGTGAGACCCTGGCAGAGCCAGGACCTGCAGGCAGGCACTCTGCTTCAGACACCACTTTTACCACTTAGCTCTACTGCCTGCCTTGTTCCAGGTAACCCTGGATCAACTAGTTATCTACCTCAGGAAGTATCCTTCCCGGCCAACACTCTTTGCCCATATGTTTTTCTTCACGTACAGCTCTTTATACATTCAGCATGTCTACAGCTCCATGCTGACAGCCCACTGCGTGGGAGCAGAAGCCTGCTGCTTGGTCCATTTGGGCTGGCAAAATATAGCACTCCCTTTTCTGGTAACTTCTGGGCTTGGCTTTTTTCCCCAGGTCCACAGCGTCCAATTCATGGAGTTCTCTGAAGTGGAGAACCAGAATGATTACTACAGCATAGGAGCTGGCTACATCTACACCCAGGACCCACAAGGAGTGCATATCATGTATGACGAAGCCTTGAGTGATCTGAGGGACCTAGAGACAGAACTGCTGCTCGTGGCCAGCCATTACATTGAGAAAGAAAAAGGTCAGAAGTCGGATTTTAAAAGATCAACCAGCCAAACAAAAAAATGAAAACCCACTAAGGGCTCTGTTTAACACCTCCCACCTCAAAGTATAAATGCATAGCCAATAGTATCTGAAAATTCAATAAGCACATTCATCTCTCCAACATACACCTGCTTTAAAAAAGATATGGGTCTGTTTCCAGCTCAAGTCCCCCTTCTGTTGGCAACTGTGACTCCTCTTTCAGGGCTCGGTTGTAATTCTTCCTGTTGTTTCAACTCAACTTGTTGCCCGGCGGTATTTCTACATCACTCACTGGGCCCAGGGAGTGTCGTGTGGAGCCCTGAGGGAAGCAAAGTAAGCAAGTGAAATTAATGATTTTTTTTTTCCTAAGTGACAAAAAAAGTGATTGACCTTGGGGAAACTGCGGTTAGAAGCAGAGACATCCTGGGGTTCCTAACAGAAAACCACCAGGATGCGAGAAGATCTGGCTACGACAATTCAGATAAGCCCCAGAGGGAGAAATCATTCCTCAGGGTCATCAGATTACCCGTATTACATATTCTCTCTTCCTTTGGGCATCACTCAAAGTTATCCAATTTTAGAAAGAAGTAAGGAAAGGCCTTTCCTTTTGGAATAATATGACAGTATTGGCATTACATTTGGAAAGAGCTTAGCTTCAAGACACGTTGCAACACCTAAAGGGAAATTTAGCAAGGGTCTGTGCTCTTTTGTAATATATGTAGACTGTAATTAAGAATAATTCATGTTCATATTATTATAAAATGCTGCTCAAAGAATGTTTGACAATTAACCCTTCAGATCCCAGATAGAATTAACTTAATATCTGACTGAATTCTTGTCCTATCTTTGCTGCAGACCATTGGGATCTGAATCATCGGATGCAGTGACAGCATCCAACATCCCAGGGCATTTAATTTCAGCTTTTAGCTTTTATCTTTACTGGTTCGCCCACATACTAATCCATCATTTTTGTCGATATTAATCTATAACACTGTGCAACTATTTCCAGCTGCTGACAATGTAATTTGATTGAAACCCTTAGCCAGTAGTCATTTAGCCACACGAGCATCTTTCAACTGAGCTAGTAAGTATACAGTCACTGTGAAACGATTTCCCAACTGCTGCTAGAGAAATTCCTGATCACAGTCTTTCTCTTGTCCAGTTCCCATCATGTACTTGATAATTACTGAACTCAAACTTCAGCACCTGAAAATCTTTTACTTTTTGATATTTCATTCTGAAACAGAACACTCAAAACTTTAAAACAATAATAATGCTGATAGTGAAAACTACCGTTAATATAGTGGGAAAATATTTTAGCTGAATAATGACAATGATTACCTTTATTGATTTAAGTTGGTAATTAACATAATTAAGAAATATCTTAGAAACTTCTCTGAAAAATTTCGACTTGGCTAGCATCAATTGAAATAGCAGGTTAAACTGAGTGTGTTGTTAAACCACCAGGGACCTGTTTTTAGTGAAGGAGAAATGTACATTTTGCCTTTAAATTATAGGTTTGAGGACATTTTAGTAAAATTTCACGGTAACTGAATTTTAGTTATATTTCTAAAATTAGTTTTTAAAACTAAAATTAAAAAGTAGAAGTCAGCAAGTATGAAATTAGGGCCTAGTCTTTGCTGATGGCTCTTTAGCTGATTCTTAGGGATTCCAGAAACCAATTGAGTGTTTTCATCCCTGAGATGGAGCCGACAATCCGAGGGGCATATTTCTAATAGGAATAACTTTGTGAAGAGGCCTGTCTCAGATCATTCTCATCTCCTTCTCTCCCAGGTCACAAAGAGGGCAGCGAGTCAAGTACTGGCCGGGACTGGGTATGGGCCCATGCAGGCGTGGACAGATTTGCTGTGCTGTATGACATGTGGACTTGGGAAGCAGCTCTCCTAGAAAACAAACGCCAGGTATTTTTGCCTAGAAAACAAAACATCTGTTAAACATTCTTATAAAACCCAGTATTTTTTTTTTTACCCAGAGGGTCTTTTATTTTTTTTGTGAGGAAGGTCAGCCCTGAGCTAACATCCATGCCAATCCTCCTCTTTTTTTGCTGAGGAAGACCGGCCCTGGGCTAACATCCGTGCCCATCTTCCTCCACTTGGTGTGGGACGCCGCCACAGCATGGCCTGACAAGCCATACGTGGGCGCGCGCCTGGGATCTGAACCCCGGGCCGCCAGCAGTGGAGCGCGCGCACTTAACCACTATGCCACGGGGCCGGCCCCAGTGGGTCTTTTAGAGCAGCTCCCAACAAAGTGAATAATTATTTTATTTAAATAATCCCAGTTAGTTGTAAGGTCGTGAGTAATAAATTTTATTTTCTTTACTGTGGTTCTTTGTTACAAAAGATAAAATGTGAAGGATACTGCTTTATCTTACAGGCATCACTTGTTTAAGCCTTTCTTATAACATGCATTCTTTTAGTGAGAATGAATGATGAGTCCATTCACGTTCATTGCCCTGACGGGGACAAGCCTCGCTTTGCTACACGCAGACAACCTGACCTTACTGTGGCCTTGAGAAGTGAGTGGGTGAAAGCAGTTGGGCAAGAAGTGCTTAGTGCAACAAGTTACCAGGGTAAATTTAAAGCAATAAAACAGCAAGTTACTAAATCATCCCTGTCGTTAATGGCTCATATCCAAGTAATAAATGAAACACTGCTCTCATCTGTGTCCTTAGCATGGATTATTAGCCCTTCTGATAATCACCAACTGTTGGGAGTTTACTCATCAAACATTAGGTATTTGCTCTGTACCAGGTACTGTTCCAGACATTCGGGACATGTAAATAGGAGATGATCTCTATCTTTAAGGAATTTCCAGTCTATAAAAGTTGATCCGATCTCTAACCAAAAAATATAACCCACTGGCTAACGGTTTACAATGGAGACACATGAAAGAGCCACCGGGACCCCAGTGGATGGAGGGATTTGTCCTGTTGGGGGCTGTCAGAGTAAAGGAAATGTTGGCAAGTCTTCTCAGAGGAATAGATACTTAATCTTGTTGCTAAAAGATGAGTAAGATGTCTGTCACAGCAGGAAAGATTCTCAAGCAGAGGAAACAGCATTAGCAATGTCAGGGAGGTGTGAAACGGGGATGGCGAGTTTGGAGAATGGCAAGAAGACTGCCCTGGCTAGGATGTAAAGGCAGGATGAGAAACAAGCTGAACTTATGTTTTGGGTGCAGCCTGTGAAGGGCTTGCTAATCCATGCTACATTTAGAGTTTATCTTATAGACAGAGAAAAGCCATTGGTGAGTTTCAGTAGGGGAGAAATACGATCATAGCTTTGTTTTCAACAGCTGTTTAGGTGTTGCTGTGGAGAATGGATGGAATAGAGAGCTCCCGGAGAAAAGAAGCGCGGTCATTGCCACAGAGACCTGAAGAGTTAGGAGGGGACCTATACTTAGGATGTATCGTCCAAAGAGGAAGGAGGAGCAGACTTGAGAACACTTTGCAAGAGTGGAAAAGGCAGGATTTGAAGACTGGATGTTGGAGTGAGAGAAATTAAAATGACTTCCTCAGGGTCAGGGAGGAGGCTATTAACTGAAATAGAATGCGGGAGGAATTCCCGCATTCTAAAGGAATTCCCCTTTAGAGGGGAAGATGATATTGAGTCTAGGACACAAGGCATGTGAGGAGAGTTTGCTAAAACCCAGGTGTGAATGTTTTGTGGGAGCTGTAGTTTTGAAACTCAGCAGCAGGTATGAGCTGAGGTGTGAATGTGGAAGTTAAACTACAGTAATTGGTCCAAATGACTAGGAAAAGCCAGAGATGTCTGACATGGGTCCCTGGGTAACACATTTAAGGGGAAGGTCATGGAACAAGAACCCATGAGAGGAAGAAGGAGTAGTCAAAGGGACTGGAGAAAAAAGGAAGGAATAGTGTTATGAAAGCCAGCGGAAAAAAAGCATTTGCATTAGGATGGTTACCAGTGTGGAGTGCAGTGAAACATCAAGAAAGATGACTCCTGCAAACCAGGCAGTGGGGTCAGCCATCAGGGGCCACTGCCAGCTGTGTAGGGCTCTCTCAGGAAAATATGGGGCTGAAAGCCAGGTTATAGCGCGCTAAGATGTGGTCAGAAGATGGGGAAGTGGAAATGTTTTCCTTGAATTGTTTTTCTAGTAGAATCGATGGTTTACTGTTTCATCTACTCTCTGGTCTGTTACTCATGGAGATGTAGGTCACCCAATTTTTGAAAACAACTGGCTGGCTTAAAGGGTGCAAGCTTTGAGTTTTGAAAATTGTTCCCCTTTTTAAAGCTAACGGGCCTCTCGAGTTGCAGTTGGCATCTGCAACCTTGATCTGCCAATTACAGCCTTACTTTGGTCAACTTAGCAAACGGGCGATTGAGACTGGTGTAGTAACTGCAAAGGCTGCGGTACACGTAAATAACACAGAATCCTCAAACTCAACAAGTTTATTGGTCCAGACGTGAGTTATAAACAGCCCCCGTTTTCTGTACTCCCTCTCCCCACCTTCCTTTTCAGTGCTTCTAGTCCTCCTCTGGAGGCCCCAGACAGGACTCACCGGTGGAGAAGAATAGAAGGGCAGAGAGTGCTGAAAACAGATTTCCCCACGCTTGAGCCTAGGGTTCATTCTGTGCTGAGCAACCCGGGCTGTCCACCAGTTTCTTCTATGGTACATGAAATTATTTTAACTTAAAACAATCGTTGAAAATATCTTCCTCTTTTCTAATCTCGAGAATAAGTTCCCTACAGAAACTGAGCTATCTGTGCCAAAAAGTGTAAAATGTGGCCTTCTAAATCAGAAATTCTGTCAAAAGAGCCAATTTTGAATGGACAAACCAGATTTTTATCTAGTGTACAATTGATTTCCTCAGTACTGATTCTGCTGCCAAGTTTCCCCAGCTGCTTTTGATTGTTAAATATATTGGAATCATTAGAGTTAGGAATTGCTCAAACCCGTTGGGTTGTCTTAAATCCCTAAAGTAACCATATTATGTAGAAACATTCATAAAATTAGAGCTGGTGTGAATTTAGGTGGATTAAGGCACTCAGAGATGCCAGACATCGGCTGTACCAGCTCCTAAGTGACATTTGTACCAACTGCTACTTCTCTCCACGGCCACCAGAGGACACATTTTCAGCGTCATAATTTGAATTAGTGCTCAGAGCACTAAAAAGATTTTCATGTTATTCTTATGAAAGGAAAAAAAAAATTCTGACAAGTTGTATCTAGCATTGATTTTCTGTTTTACACTTTTATTTGACCTAAAATACAATTTTTAAAAGTTTTTTAAATCCCAGAAATAAAAACGTTTGAGGTAAAAAATAACATAAAGAAAGTAAGGTTTGAGATTATTCATTTTGGCTATTTTTCTATTTTCTCCAATATTTGATGCTTACCGTCAATATGTACCACATATTATTTTCCCTGCAAGTTGGCCTTTGACACACACAGGTGACATTTGACAGGCTGGGAAGACTTAGACAAATACCAGCCCAGAGTTGAAATGGAAATGGGCCGGTTAGCAAACAGAAAATAAATAGAACCCATGAAGCGGAAAGATCAAGGTCCTACCCTGTTGGGAAAAAATTCATAATAAAATTATGCAAGGGTCTATCTGAGAGCTTATTGAGGTTGAGGCCAAAGCTTGAAAAAGCCTTATCCGTTTAAAAAGAGAGCCACATCTTCCTTCTCAACAGCTAGAGTTGCCAGGTAAAATATGACAATATTTGGGACGTGTTTATACTAGAAAAGTATTCATTGTTTATCAGAAATTCAAATTTAACTAAATGACCTGAGCATGTGAGCATGGCAATTTAGCACCTGCCTCTGCAACCTGGTATCACCAGATTGAAATCACTAGCAAGAACCCTCCCCACGAACTTCCCCTGCCAAATAACCGAACAATAGGAATCTTTGTACAAAAACAGGTCAAGGCAATGCAAATACTATAAACCGGCTCCTGGGATCGCCCTTGGCACAGTCAAAAAGGTTCAAGTTAGTCCAGAATGATTTAGGGAAGTAATTGTTTCTTTCCTAATCTCCCTCCAGGCTACTGAGTGACACCCTTCTTACCCCATCTAGTCACTCCTTCGTTTCTGCTTTGTCTTCTGCTATTTAATGCTGAATGTTATTCTAGAGTAGAGCTCTGTGGACAGAACAAGGTAATTTAGATCCCCCTGCTTGCTTCGCTTTCTCCTGGGCTCACTTAAAGGCAGGGGGACCTTCACCTCCCTTCATTTCACACTCTCTGAGATGTGTGAGTTTCTAACCTGTGGGGTACATACTATGTCCTGAGCTTTTAGCCTCCTTTGGTGTTTTCCTTTACATACTAAGGTTGATTCAAGGTGCCTTAGACCAATGCTTCCCAAAGGGCATCCTGCAAAACTGAATGCTCAAGTGCCCCAGGCTCTCCCTCCCAGAGCCTTAGCATTGAAGCCCTTAGATCCTGGACATCTATTAATAAGGCAGTATTTGATTCCTAGTCTGCTATTGATTCTCATGCATTTAGCTTCCTGAGGAGCCTCAGAAGCCATGATTGGCAAGATCAAGACACTCCTGGCTTTTCCTGTCGGGGGGTTCCTGTATTCCCCTTTGCCTCCTGTGCCCTAAATAATGCTTACACCTTCTCAGTTCTGTCTGGTTTTACATTCTTAGCCATGGACTCCACACAATGAGAAGGGCTGTTTATCTCCTTTTAGGATATTTACTTTGTTAAGAAGAGATCTGATTTCCTGGCCACCAGCCACCAAGAAGACCAGTACCCTAGGAAATGAAACACACTCTTTCTCTAATGCCTCCCAAAGTGTGCTAGGCTGTTGGGTTGGTGCAAATTGCAACCTCAGCAATTCACTCCTTGCTGCCAATTAAATGCGGTCACACGCTGGGCAAGCCTATGTGTCTGTGGTGTCATGGCTACAATAGGAGCTGAGGCCCTCAGAATGAGTGAAATCTCCATAAGAGGAGCTAGTCACAGAAGACTGTTTGGGGAGGGAGATCTTGAGCTAAAACTCTGAGAGGGGATGTCTTGGATTAGACTGCAGAGGAGAGAAAGGAATTCTTTCAGTTGTGAGACCAGTGGGAGTAAAAGTTCAGAAGCTTCTAGCCAGAGCCAATTTATCCATTAGACAATATAGATTCAGTATTTAAGATCTAAGAGCTTTACAGGAACCAATGAAAATGTTTGAGATCTGAAAAAATCCATGCATTACTCCATAATATGAAAAGAAAATACAAAGTAGATATCAATAAATGCTTAATTACATGTCTGTAAAATGTAAAAACTTTGAGCACTTATAAACATATCATTACATTTGAAAACAATTTATAGATCAGATTTTCTCACTTTGTAAGAATCCCCAAGTATATACTGCCCAGAAATTATAGCCAATCATTAATTGTGTTGCTCATAGCCAAATAATTTGAAAAGCAAAATTATAAATATCATTTAACTTTTTTTTTCTTTTTGGTGAGTGAGATAGGCAGGAAGCTGGGAGCAAGGTCACTCCACCAGGTGCAGCATCCTCATTACAGGGCAGCAGCTCTTCAGACGTGCAGCACTCCCCCTGACCCTGACCAAGAGTAGCCCCAAGCCTCATTATACCCTCATTTGCATTGCAGTTTTGACCCCCCTTGCGGGGGATCACCGCCATGACAGTTCCGGAGATGCCTATGTAAGGAAAAAAACTCCCCCTCCTGACGTGGGGGTGGAGACAATGCCCCGATTGGCACACATTCCAAGACCCGCACCTGTCCCTGGAACCCGAACTTCCTTAGCCACTGACCACCACAACTTTGGTGCAGTAGCTCCCCTCGAGCCTGCTTGCCCCTCCCCTTGGGGGGGCATACTTTTGCTTTGCTAATAGATCCTCCTCTGTTAAAACTTCTGCTGTGTGTCCACTCTCAAATTCTTTTATGTCTGTGGACCAAGAACCTGGGACCCCACTGCACTGATCTAACCGGCACCAGTGACAGTGAGGCAGATCGGCCCTGAGCTAACATCTGTGCCCATCTTCCTCTATTTTGTATATGGGTTGGCCACCACAGCATGGCTTGATGAGCAATGCGTAGGTCCATGCCGGGGATTCGAACCTGTGAACCCTGGGCCACTGAAGCAGAGCACAGGAACTTAACCACTACGCCACCAGGCCGGCCCCCTTATTTAACATTTTTACAGAAAAGAAATTTGATTGGGATGTAAGTACATTTTAATATACTTGATATAATGTGAGACAGGGTCTCCAAAAGTAAGGTGTCTAAGGCTTATGGAGGTTTTACACCACCCTAAAACAGTAATTACTTTGTTCAGAACTACTTACTTACCTTGCCCTTAGGTCCCTGTTTGGGATTCCAACCCCGCGATCTCTGAAGAGCTTTTTCTGATTGACACCTTGACTAATTACACACAAATAAAATTTACACACAGAACGGAAATTCCTTAAGCTCACAGACAAATGTAAAAGCAAAATAAAGAGCATCTCTTTCTGAATTCCCACCCTGGGAACGCCTTTGATGGTTAGTGCCTGGAAGCTTTCTTTGGTTTTTAGAAAAGACTTGTGGGGGGCCGGCCCCGTGGCTTGGCGGTTGGGTACACGCGTTCCGCTGCTGGCGGCCCGGGTTCGGGTCCAGGCGCGCACCGATGCACCGCTAGTTGGCCGTGCTGGGGCCGTGTCCCGCGTGCAGCGACTGGAGGGGTGTGCAGCTATGACGTGCAGCTATCTACTGGGGCTTTGGGGAAGAAAGGGAGGAGGACTGGCAATGGATGTTGGCTCAGGGCCGGTCTTCCTCAGCAAGAAGAGGAGGATTGGCATGGATGTTGGCTCAGGGCTGATCTTCCTCACAAAAAAAAAAAAAAAAGACTGGTGAACTCTGCTAGAAAAGCAGCTCTCTCCATACCTTTGAGAGTTCTGGACACCAGACCCTTCCTAGTGGAGTCTGGTCTGGGATAAATGCCTTTGTATTTAGGGGGGACTTGCACCCTTAGCCTTCCATTCTATCCCCCCACATCATTTCTATATAGGTGAAATTTGGGCAAGTATTAAATAGAAGGGGTCAGAAATGGGGCTGAAGATGTGGAAGAGGGAAGAAGGCCACGTGCCTACCTTTGGTGATGGAGTAAAATGGGGGAAGGAGAATGGGTCTGTGGAGAAAGGTGTTGGAGAAAAAATATTTAATGAAGTGACATTGAGTGCATTGTCTCATTGGAGGTTATAGTTATTAAACATATGTTGTTAATTATATAACCTCGCTTTAATTTGTGGAGAGCAGGGGAAGAGGAGACAGAGGCAAAATGAGGGTTCTTTCCTTGCCCTCCCTGACTCGGTGGCTTTACTAATTGCTCTGAGTTGTGTTGGGGCTGCAGCTGCCTGCACCAGGCTAGTACCCAGAGGTTCAGAGCTCTCTCTCTCCTGCTGATGCCCGGGGGCTTTCAAAACACGGAGTGGGTGGGGCCTCACCTCTCTTTGCTGTGCCCTAGGGCTGCCTCTGCTGTTCCCTGACTATCAACCTTATTTGCAGCTTCTTGACAGTTACTTTGAAGCCTACCAGCATGTGCTGGACCCAGAGGAGAGGTTTGCCTTAGCACAAGTGATCACTGACATCATGCACAGGTGCCCAAGGTTTGATCTCAGCCACTCTTACTTCATTAAGGCCTACCAAGATGAATGCATGTGCCTGAGGCTTCACCCACAGCTGGTGAGGGGCATCCTCAACCAGCACGTGAGTACAGTTGGGTTTTAAAATATTACATGTGAGAAGAGGATGGAAAACATGGGCCAGAACTGAAAATTGCAGAACCTTTCTTTCATTGTGGGTCCAGAATCTAGGTTTTCAAGGGCAGCGTGTACAGCATGTTTATTTGTAAGATCATTTGCAGTGTTGAATTCCAAGCATAACCACAGTCTTAAAGGGAGGTTTCCAACCCTAATTACGTTTAACGGTCCACAAAGAATGGACAACCTGCTTTCATTAGATCATAGAGTTTATTGGTAGTGGAAGGACTACACATATGCTTTTCAAGACGTTAGTGTATAAAATTATGTTAATTTTTTTTTTTAATGTTGTGACTATTTTTAGGACACAAAAGGAAACAATCACAGTGTATGTCCTCTGGGGAAAAGCTAGTGGCAGGAAGTAAGCAGGAGACAAAGACCGTTGCAATACACTTACCTTAAGCCTGCTTAGAATTTTTTCCTTGTAGTCAATTGTTTGACAGAAAAAAGTTTTCTTGTGCCTCTTAAGACTGTCCAAAGTGGGTTGCCTTTGCTCTTCTTGGCTGGCCCTTGGCTCAGACTGAGAGAACAGCATGTCTCTGTGTGAGTGGATCCTCGAAACCAGGTCTGGGTGAAAATTAGTCCAATAATGAAGACACGCAAAGGGCTGATGTTCTTCTCATGCCAAGTCTCATAACTCACATCCATGGGAAAGTTTAACTTTTCTAATTTTAACTTTTATGCTACATTTCTAGATAGAGCGTCAGCGGGAGTATGTCCAGAGGCTCTGGCAAGAAAGCCCTCCAGATGATAGCAATAAATTTGGACTTCCCCTTAACATCATTTGCAAACAACTTATTTCCATCAACAATAGCTGGTAAGTGGGTGTTGTCTTTAGGCATTTTACATTTAATCTTCTAGATAAGTTAAGGTATGATGTTAAGTCTAAATGCTATTCTACAAAGAACCTCTCGAGTATTTGGGGAGATGAGAGAAGTAGATATAAAAGCCACAGAAAAGGAATTCTCTCCCATACTCAATATCTGTTTGCTTTGTAAGTAATAAAGAATAGGAGGCTATAGAAGAAAATATAGGCAGTACACTCTTTGACATTGGTCTTAGGAGTGTCTTTTTTGAATACCATGTCTACTCGGGCTAGGGAAACAAAAGAAAAAATAAACAAATGGGACTACATCACACTAAAAACCTTCTGCAAGGCAAAGGAAACCATGAACAAAACAAAAAGACAACCCACCAACTGGGAGAAAATATTTGCAAATCATATATCTGACAAGGGGTTAATTTCCAAAGTAAATAAAGAACTCATACAACTCAACCACAACAACAAAAAAACAACTTGATCAAAAAACGGGCAGAGGGTATGAAAAGATATTTTTCCAAAGAAGGTATACATATGGCGAACAGGCATGTGAAAAGATATTCAACATCACTAATTATTAGGGAAGTGCAAATCAAAACTACAATGAGATATCCTCTTACACCAGTCAGAATGGCTATAATTAACAAGACAAAAAATAACAAATGTTGGAGATGTGGAGAAAAGAGAACGCTAATTCACTGCTGATGGGAATGCAAACTGGTGAAGCCACTGTGGAAAACAGTATGGAGATTTCTCAAAAAATTAAAAATAGGAATACCATATGATCCAGCTATTCCGCTACTGAGTATTTATCCAAAGAATGTGAAATCAACAATATAAAGAGACTTATGCACCCCTATGTTCATTGCAGCATTATTCACAATAGCCAAGAAGTGGAAACTACCCAAGTGCCCATCAACTGATGAATGCATAAAGAAGATGTGGTGTATATATACAACGGAATACTACTCAGCCATAAAGAAAGACAAAATCATCCCATTTGCAACAACATGAACGGACCTTGAGGGTATTATGTTAAGTGAAATAAGCCAGACAGAGAAAGCAAACACCGTATGATTTCACTCATATGTGGAAGATAAACAAACACATGGATAAGGAGAACAGACTAGTGGTTACCAAAGGGGAAGGGGGTGGAGGGGAGGGCAAAAGGGGTAAAGGGGCACATGTGTATGGTGATGGGTAAAAACTAGACTATTGGGGGTGAGCAAGATGCAGTCTATACAGAAACTGATATATAATAATATGCACCTGAAATTACACAATTAAACCAATATGACCTCAATAAAATAATTAAAAAAAAAAAAAAAGAAGAGGCTAGAATTGAATCTTATGCCACTGAGTGGAAAATCTTCACTCCCTTGCTAGGTCCTAAGAAAAAGCAGTTGCTCTTGAAATGCTGTCAGACGATTTAATCAGAGGTGCCAACAACATATATGAAACTTAGATGTGCTTAAACGTTTCTCAAAAAGGAATTTCTTTATTGTAGCAAGTGTTACCAAAAAGGTTTCTGCAGACTCATCTTGTGACCCCACCCCTTTAAGGAGCAGATTAAATTTCCTGAGATCACTCAGAGAAACAACATACTTTAGGTCACCCCGTTGACATGTAGTCCAATTCCCCCATTCCCTTCCAGCCTTAGAGGGTAGAGAGGGAACCAAGAAGTGGGTGACAAGCCCTAGGCTGGTCTGTATGGCCCAGGATCACAATCGCTCTATTGGCTCCAAATGGGTGGAAAAATTGTCCAACTTCTTTCAATACCCGACACATATTTTTTGAGCTCCTACATGTACCAGGCAGTGTACATAGTACACTGGGGAGCGGGGGACACAGATATGACCAACAGAGGCATGGCCCTATGCTCCTGTGAAGGGTAGAGTCCAGCAGCACAGGCACACTTTCAGTAGGAATTTGCCACAGTGGGCTATAGTATCATCCTGGGGACCAGCTGGGTGCCATGGATTTCATAGCTGAGATTCTAACCTCGTCTCTTGAGAAAGAACCCTGGGAGTTCCAAGCACAAGTCTGGACCTTTCCTACAGACCTTTCTCAGGGCTGACTTCTTCACTGTAATAAGCTCGAGACACCAGCTATGTGTGTGCAGCTTGCTATGGCAAGAATCTACTGTTCAGGAAATGGTTTCTGGTGGAACATGCTAGGGCTATATGGATACTAAGACCTGTCAGAATAGTCTCAAAAGCAAATGTTATTCGCTTGATAAAGTTCCTTTCCAGACTTAGGGTTGTATTTTTTAAGATCCAGGACTAAGAAGAATTCCATTTGTGTAGATTTAAGAAGTATTTATGTTTTTTAGTTCTATGTAAGTATTAAAAGGCCCTTGTGCTGTATCCTTTATTTCCGAAGGAATAACCCACAGACAAGCATTTTATCATTTCTGGCTTCATCTATTTATAAACTACAACATAAATGATTCCAGAAGTTGTGTACAGAATTTAAAAATTGTCTTTGTCCATTATGTTTTGGAAAAAAACAAAAAGAATAAAGACTCAGGTGAAACTAACCATGGAAATTATTTTTTTAATATTTAGTCACTTTATTTTGTTTTCAAATATTTGACTGTATATTGATTATTGCCATATTGACAGTCTTGCCATATACAATTTAAGAATTCTCTTCTTATTGGGCTTTTAGAATATATTCCTGTGTCCTCCAGTTTTAAAAGAGTTCACATTAAAGCAAAGAACGTGTTGTATAATCCAGTGGGTTCCCTGAACGGCCTCTGAGGTCCCTTGGAACTCCCAGTTTTTTATAGTGTCCTGGATTGTAGGAGCTGTTTTATTGGTCTTTAAAAATATAAAATTCAAATATCTTTGGATACAGACTAAGTTCTTCATTGTGTAAACTGTCATTAATTCTTCCTCTTCTTTAAGCCCAGCTCTGAAAAACATTTATCTGCTGGAGTTCCACCCTTCCCTGGGCCTGGCTTCACTCATCCCCAGAGCCCTTGAGCATCTCCTCCAGGAGGCCCACCACACCTGCAGGCCCACCACGGCCAGTGGCCTCGCCTTGGTGGAGAGACGTGTGCTGCGGCTGGCCCTGGATGTGTGGCTCACCCCCGCCAAGCCGGAGTCCTGGTTCAGCGCACAGCTCCAGAAAGATGTAGGTTCTCTGATGGGGGTAGATGGGTCCTCGGCAAAGAGAATGTTTCCTCCCAGATGTTACTACTTAGCTTTGCTTTTCTGTTTGGCTCTATTCCCCACTATTTGGCCAGAGACAGATCATAGTCACGGGCCCCTAACATTTTTATGTGATTTTTTTTTTCATTTTTGGTTAGTTTCTAGTTTAACAGGATGCTGCTACAATTAAAATGAAAAGAGAGTTGTACATAGGAATGTGGAAAATGTTTTCTGATTTACTTACATTTTAACAACATAATTTTTAATTAAAAATTATATATTTTCTTTCTACCAAGACTTCCTAAAATGTAATTTTTAATTAAAAATTATATATTTCCTTTCCAGCAAGACTTCCTAAAATGTACTTATTTTGTCCTGAGCCGAGATCTGGTAGAGGAAAGAGAGCACTGAGTGAGGAGTCAGGGACCTGGACTGAAGTTCAGCCTTGCCATTAACTTGCTGTATGACTCTAAGCAAGTCTCTTAGCCTCTCTGAGCCTCACTTTCCTATTTTGTAACATTATGTTCATGTATCTGGGGGGAGGTGGGTGGATGTGAGCTCAATGATCTCTAAAGCCCCTTCAAGCTCTAATGCTCTATGGTTCAAACTGTGGCGTGATGATTTATGTGGTGTTTGTAGGTGGATTTGAATCCTTTGCTTTGTCTGTTAAGGCTGTGACAGGCGGGCCTGGATTTCCAATTTGACCTTACTCTGTGTGGGTACTTGGTCTATGAGGGAGAAACTTTCAAGGGCCCCGGCTGCCAAAGATATCTGTTCCACGGGTCTGCCTCAGTCTCCTAGCCCCTCCTGCCCAAACTAAAATTTTAAATTGATCAAAATAATGTAAAATTACACATAATTTTAGCAAAAGAGGAAGGAAAAAAATTGCCCTAAATATGACCACTCAAATGCGTTTTGTAATCATTGTTTTTCTGACTTCAAGTATTCTACATATGCATGTTTTACATAGTTATAATCATATGCTTTGATCACTATCTCCTGTTTTTCTCAGTTAACATTATATGATACATTTTTCCATATTGTTAACTAGTCTTTATACTCAACTTTATGACCACATAATTCCCTTAAGTGATGAATCTTATGATTCATTTTATCTAACCATTTCCCTATTGATGGGCATTCAAGTAGTTTCCAATTTTTCATTATTATTAAAAATGCTATAAAGTACATTTCTATGCTTTGCTTACAGATTTTTCCATATTTTGAATCAATTCCATTGGATAGATTCTTGGAAGTGAAATTGCTGAAACAAAATTTAAGTCTTTGGACACATGTTAGCAGATTGCTTTCCAAAAGAGTTGTGCCAAATTATAATGCCCCTAAGAATGTATAAGAGTTCCATTTCTGCTACACTGTACAGTATTAGGTGTGTTTCATGTCTGTGCTACATTATACATATATATATCCATATATATAAAAGGTGGCGTTATACTGTTAATTTGTCTTTCCTTGCTATTTATTGAGATTAAATATTCTTCCAAATGTTTTGTTACTAGCTGTATTTTTGGTGGATTTTCTGTTCTTTCTCTTTGTTTATCTCTTGGAATCCTAATGTCATTCCTATCCACTTACATGAACTCTTCTTAAATAAAACCTTAACCCTTTTGTCCATCATATTTTCTGCAAATGTTTCCAATTTGTCTTTTTATTTTTTGAACAGAAACTTCTTATTTTCATATGGTAAAGTCTGTTGATCTTTTCTTTCGTGATTTCTTCTATCCTCCGAAATCCAGAAAGCAAATCTTCCTCCAGATGTTTCATATTTGTCTTATTTGATTCTAATTTTTTAAGGTTTTGATTTTGTTTAAGAAATATTTAACTCCTTTAGTATTCCCCCTGGAGAGTATGTGTGTGTGAGTGTGTGTGTGTGTGTGTATGTGTGTGGTGTGAGGTATGGCTCAAAATAGAATTTTTCCCCAAATTACCAGCCATGTATCCCACTACCATTTATTGAGGATTCTTTCCACATTGTATTATAGTACTAGATTTTTTTAATGTATTTTAAATTCTCTTTTAAATCATAGTGAATATCTGAGAGATACCTGTCGTCTCCCATTGATGCCACACAGTTTTAATTATTATTTTTGAAATGTGTTCAAATTTGGACCTAAAAATGATAAATATTCAGATTAATCTTTCGTATTAGGCCAAAAGATGGGACAGATATTGCCCTCAGAAGACATGCAGGAGTTAGTTTAATAAATCTCTTTAGGGGCTGGCCCCGTGGCTTAGCGGTTAAGTGCACGCGCTCCGCTACTGGCGGCCCGGTTTCGGATCCTGGGCGCTCACCGACACACCGCTTGTCCGGCCATGCTGAGGCCGCTTCCCACATACAGCAACTAGAAGGATGTGCAGCTATGACATACAACCATCTACTGGGGCTTTGGGGGAAAAAAAAAAAGAGGAGGAGGATTGGCAATAGATGTTAGCTCAGAGCCGGTCTTCCTCAGCAAAAACAGGAAGATTAGCATGGATGTTAGCTCAGGGCTGATCTTCCTCACAAATAAATAAATAAATAAATAAATCTCTTTATCACTTAGGAAGACTTCAAGAGTCTAGAAATTGCATCGTTGAGCAGACAAGGCCTTTGGTAGACAAGTGGCTAGATAAGGGAGCTTGTGCACCCTTGCGGAGCCAAACCAGGAAAGGCAGATTAGGGGGTCCCCAAACTGGGTCCTTGCTGGGAATGACATCTTGGAGGGTAGCAGTGATGTCAGAGCAGAGGACCGACTGAGGAGGAGGGTGTTAAAGATGAATGTGCTTGCTTCACAAATTGCCCAGGGCTGGCTGAGTGGAGGACCACTGTAAAGGCAGTTTTGTATAGACCGTAAAGTTCTTGAACTTGGAATTGGAATGCCTAAGTTTACTCTTGGCCCTGCTGTGTGCCCTTAGAAAGCTTCAGTGTTGCTTCAGAGCTCTCACTGGTAAAAGGGAAATGATGGTGTCTGTGATGCCTACTGCATGGGGATCTTGTGAAAATAAAAATAAGTTAGTATATGTGGCAATACTTTGAAATTTTGAAACTGCAATTAAAGGGGTTTATAAGAAATTATTATTATTACTGGCCACTAAAATACTTGAAAAATATCAAGGAATTCTGTTTCTATTTAGGTCATCTTTATTTCTCTTCTTTATTCTGGTTTAAAAGATTTATAATAATGGTAACAGCAAATATTGTGTACCAGGGACTTTTGCATACATTAGCTCACTTAACCGTCTTAACAACCCTATTAGGTAGTTATTATCTATTAGTTCCTATTAGCTACTGTTATTATCCTTATCCCCCCTTAGCAAATGAGGAAACTGAGAGACAGCGAAATTGAGTAAATTGCCCCAAATCTCACAGCTTCTCAGTGGCAGAGCTAGGACTTGAGCCCAGGAAATCTGGATCCAGAGTCTGTGCCACTGATAGGATTTTTCATAATATATGCAATTTATTTTTTCATACTTTAAAAAGTACTTTGTTTCCTTCCAGCTGTTTTCAGCTAAAGTGATGGGAGATCCCTTTCTCGTGGGGCAGACAGGCCTGCTTGCACTCAGGTCTGCAGTGGACGAAGGACATAAGCAAGGCCAGGATTCTCATGGGCTGCTCCTGGAAACGTTTTCCAAACTTCTGGAACTCTTGACCCTCCGCCACCGGCTGATACAAATGAGTCTGGAGAGTGTACACTTAGCTTGGTCAGTAGGGGGCCTGAGGATCCAGATGGGGAATAACAGACCGTGAGTTTCCCTACCTACAAGCCTTGCCCCTCTGTGCCTCCAGAGCAGCCAGCGTGAGCTTTCTAAATGGCTAAAATGATGGCATCTCTCCCTGGCTCTTCTCTCACCCTGGCCTCCCCACATGCCTCTCTGACCGCTCAGCTAGGCTAGGTCGTGCCCTTACCACCCGGGCTTCCGCTCCATTCACCACACTGCCTTTTAATTCGATGCTTAATATTGGCTTATCGATTTCCTGCTAGTGTAAGCTCCCTGACTGCAAAAGCCCTGTCTACATTGTTTTCCATGACGTCCCATCACCTGGTATGAGGCCTGACCTGCACCAGCCACTCAGTGAATATTGATTGGATTTGCTCTCGACTATAATGAAGTGAATAGCAGAGAAGAAGCAGCAGAGGACCCAGAGAAAGGAGAGGGATGAGTACGTGACAGCATCCAGGTCTGACAGAGGTGTGGAAGGTGCAGCAGGTAGCGGGAAAGACAGAGATTAATGAGTTAGGTTTAGGTATGAGTGTAAGATGATGGTAAGACACCCAAGTGGACATGTTCCATAAGCAGGAAAAATATGGAACTAGAGAGTTTGTTGCAAACATGTATGAGTGCTGTTGGTGTTCTGTTCCCCATGAGAGGCCCTATGGTCACAAAGAATCCACCATCAACCATTATCAAGGGCCTGCTGTGGCCTGGGTTTGTACTGGGGACTTTATGTGTATTAGTTCATTTAATCCTCAGAATATCCTTATGAGGTAGCTTATAAACATTTTACCAGTGAGGAACTAGTGGCTCAGAAATGTTAAGTAATTTGCCTAAGATCACATAACTAGAAAGTAGTAGAAATAGAATTCAAACTATGAGCCAAAATATTATTAACCTCTCTGATACTACTTCCCCATTATTTCTGATCCTTTCTCTCAGGGAGTTCACAGTGTAAAAGTTACCCCAACATAGTTTAATATGATATTTTAGTTATTTGAACAAAATACTATGAGAGCACAGAAAATGGAATATTTCATTCTTTCTAAGTGAATCAGGGAAAGCTTCATAGAAGAGGCGCTGTTATGGGATGATTTGTCTCCCCCCCAAATTCATACATTCAATTTCTAACCCCCAGTACCTCAGAATGTGACCTTGTTTAGAGATAGGGTCTTTACAGAGATAACCTTTACAGAGGTTATCAAGTTAATATGAAGTTATTAGGGTGGGCCCTAATCCAGTATGACTGGTGTCCTTATAAGAAGAGGAAATTTGGACAGACACACACCTCTGTGTGATGTGATGTGTACACAAGGAGAAGATAGCCATCTAAGCCAAGGAGATAGGTCTGGAACACATCCTTCCCTCAAAGACCTCAGAAGGAACCAACTCTGCCAACACTGTGAGACAAATTTCTTTGTTCAAGCCATCCACTTGTGGTACTTTGTTACAGCAGCCTAGCAAACTAATATAGGTGCCATTTGAACTCAGCCTTAACCAACTTCTCAAGATGGAGAAATGTGTTAGAATGGGAGTAAGAAAAGAGGAGAAGGCATTCTAGACACATAAGGCTGAAATGCCGGAGCTGAATAGAGCCTCACTGCAAACCACGGAAATGTGCGAGTGGAGCTCAGAGTTGAAGCAAGACAGAGATGGGGTCACAGGTTCTTACACAAGGGGGTGATGGTCAGAGTTGGATGATGGACTTTCTAAGGAGGAGATGGAGAAGATGAGAAGAGGACCAGGTTTGGAACCCCAGGAAACACCAGGATTTGAAAATAAAGAGGAGGAGAAACCAATAAAGACAGAGAGAGTGGTCTTGAAACAAGAGCATGGAGATCCTGGAGCCAGGAGAACAAAGATGTTCCTCAAAGAGGGAATGGAGGCCAGCCATGAAGAGCTTTGAGAGAAGATGGTGAACCTTATATTGAGGGTAATATTGGTGATCTCATGAGGGATCTGAGGACAGAAGGCAGCTTGCAGGAAATGAGAGTTGAGGGAGTACCCAAGCACATCTCCTCCTACTTTAACTACTGTTGTTAACTGTCAAAGCATAGGGCAAACACAAGACCTTTGTGACTCATTCACTTCATATGGATTTGGCTTACTTTTGTGTTGACTTTTGCTTTTGTGCTTATTCAGATGTTTTAGTTTTCTTACCACTTACTTTCCTTTTAGGAAAAAATAATAAGAAATGTTCTTGGCTCTTTTTTTCCCCTTTTAGTCTTTATAAGGAATTGGCATGTGAGATGGGTTTTGAAGAGTTCCATTTGTATCTGAGGCCTGTTCACTTTGAATTTGCATCACACAAGGACAAGGTGGACCATCCACCCCCTGTCTTTATAACCTCTCTGCTGGAGGACAGTGACCGTGTTGACAGGTGAGCCTTGAGAGGGTCAAAGTAAAAATAAATGTAACTGTAGAAAAATAATTTCTATCACCACTGAACATGGAAATGCAATTAGATTTCTAAATTTACTCCCTTATGTTTTATCTGCCATGATGCCAACTTTTTTCTTTTTCTTCCTTTCCTTTTTGATAAGAGGGGAAAAAAATAAGATCTCAATCCAGGGGGATAATTGGATTAAAAAACGCCAAGTAACTGAGAAATGGAAGAATCAGATCAGACAGCTCAAATGAGACAGAATCACAGGCTCAGCAGCTGCCGGGTTGACCAGGTTGCTTCAGGGTAGAAAGGATGTGAGGATTGGTCTGATGTGGCAAGAACCACAGATCAGAAGTCCAGGTCCCTTCTCTCACTTTCCCTGGGACCAGGAAAAAGTTAGTCAAGTCTTTTGAGCAGCTGTTTCCTTGAAACTCTAACACAATGTACAAATCTATCATGGATGACAAGATCTCAGCCAGGCTCCTTTGTTGCCAGTAGTAGAAACTGAATCAAACCAGTGAGACCTCTTTTCTGTGCCCCGTAGATTTAGCCCATTGCCTGAAAGAAAACACTCTTGCTAGTACCAGATCATGAATCTACTCAGTTGGGGAAAGGAATCTTCTCCCCCCACACAGTCAGGCTTTGATGTGTGCCTTCTGCTTCCTTCTTCTTTCCTTCTCTGCTAGTCTGCCCTTCCCCTGAGGGTCCTAGCTCTGTCCCCAGAGATTCCTGGTACCAGACCCACCAAAGCAAAGATGACCACAAGGAGGAAAAGTCAGCTTTGTTTTGCTAATGTGGCTCTCTGCTCAAAATGTGAATTTGATGTGTTAATATGCTAAAGGAGAGAGCATGGGCTAGAATGAAGGGGGTTAGGATGGTAGAAAGCAGTATCCCAGAATTTCCCAACCTCGGCACTGTTGAAATCTGTGACTGGATAACTCTTTCTTGGAGGGAGCTGGCCTGTGCATCAGAGGTTGTTTAGCAGCATCCCTGACCTCTACCTACCAGATGCCAGTAGTATCCCTTCCCCTATTTGTGACAATCAAAAATGTCTCTACTCATCACCAAATGTCCCTGGAGGCAAAATCTCGCCTGTTCTATCCTGTCACACCGCCTAAACGAAAAAGAGAATTTATTGATAACTGGAGGCAGGAAGTGTGATTGGGCATCAGGCGGGGCTAGGTCTCCAACCTGGAGCCAAGCTATTCTCTGGCTCTTTGAAGGTCCGCCACCAGAGCTGGTAATTTATGCTGCTGTGAAAAAAGGGCATATTTTCATTCAGTGGGAATCAGCAAGTCAGCATCAACTGCCTGAATGCCTTGCAGTCTGGTCAAGTGGTGATTGGTCCCCAATGATGACCCAGAGATCCTATAAGATCTTGGGGAGCCTCCTGAATTACCAGGAGAAGGTTTATGCATCCGGGGAAATTGTGTCTTGAGTTTGCATTTGTTTTATGTATGTTAATTCCTGAAAGTTGCCACTTTGGAGTGCTGTTATCACAACAACATATACTAAACGTGAGCATAGTGACTTCCATTTTTAAAAGGACATTCATGCATATCCCACTTAATATTTGCCATAACCCTCCAAGATAGGTGATACATTCTTCATTTACAGATGAAGAAACTAAGATTCAAGATATTAATTGCTTGACAAAGTCTCAGAGCTATGCACAAAGCACCATGTCCCAAGGCAGAAATGTGCCAGCAAAGATCATTTAGATGATTGTTGGGGCCATGGGAGAGAGCAAGAACCGGACAACTTTTAGGGAGCGGACAAAGGGGTCCGAGTCAGGGAGGGGCCTGAGCAGGTAGGATCAAGAAGGTAAGAGGAAAAACAGGAGAAAGCAGTGGAATGATGATCAAGGGAAAATAATTGCCAATACTCTGGGGTAGATGGTCGCCACAACCAAACTGCAAGGAAAGTCCAGTAAGGACTGAAAAGACCCTGGAGCCCTTCAGTCTTTGGGTGGAAATAGCAAGTCTTGTGTAAAATCTGTTGTTGCTATTACTACTGATGTCCCAGAGCTGATCACATGCCGTCCTGTCCCATCAAACGGGACATCTCTTGACCACTGGCAGGGCACGTCAAAACAACTTCATGTTTGTTCTTGCAGATATTCACCTACTGCTCTTGGCTTAGCCATCTCTGAAGTGGATGATAACCAAGTTGGCAAATTTAGTTTTTATACAAAGGAAGCCGTCCTTAAGGTAAATTGCTTTATTTTTTAAAAAAGAAACTAAGGTAAAATTAAGCAATTTGCTCATATATCCCTTTAAAAATCCTGATGTTTAATTTGTGTAAGTTTGGCTCCCATATATAAGAAAAGCTTCCAACTTAGTAAATAATGACGAGAGCCTGGCCTTATTTGCTGTGCACACTGGCCTGGTTTGAACCAGACTGCAACACCCCTCGAAATAACCTCTGTTAGATGTTAACGAGCACATGTAGTGAACCATCTTTGTATCGAGCTTTTAAAATATACACTTGTCACTGGAGCTTTTACCTGATCTTTTTAAACCTGGTGCTATTTTTTCCTGTCACTCAAGTGGATTTTCTTTGCTTCTATGTATATATGTGCAGGTTTGTAGTTGTGTGTATTTTTTAAACATTAATCTAATCTTGACAGTTTTACAAGAGCCTGCCACTGAGCACATGTTTGCTAGTTCTTCAGAGCCCACTCATCCTTTTCTGACCATTGGGAAAAACTGATGGGGTCCGACTGCAGAGCCAATCCAGCCTGGAGGCTGCCTTCCTGGGATGAAATGCTGCTTAGAGAGGGACCGGATTCAGGCTGTGGCTGAGGAGCAAAGATCTCAGCATATCCTACTGTTCAATCCATGTATTGACATGTTGAATAAGTGATAATCTCAACCCTCAACTTCACCTCTGTCCTTATGAGAGAAATTCCTAATACCTTTCACATTTCTTTCCTTTAGCTCTTGTTCCATTCAGGAGTGGAAAATATGCAAGTGACCCTTGCATGCCAAGCTGCTCAGAAAAATGCTTTGATGGTGGCTGTCCAGCAGGCATCCTTCTATCACACTCCCCGAGGGGGCTGTCCTGCTGATGTCAAGGTCAGCCTGTAAGACAGAGAAGCCTGAGGCATGCTGCCACTACTGCCAGCTGATGGCAGGCCATCAGTCCTCCTCTTCCTTCCCTTCTTCCCTCCCTCCCTGGCCCATGCAGCCACCCCCCTCTTCCTTTCCTTCCTCCCATCCCCCCTTTTCCTTCCTTCTCTTTCTCCCTTTTCTTCCTTCTTTGCTATCTTTTTCCTTTCCTCTTTCCCTCCCTCCATCCTTTTTTCTTAATGTGAATCAACACATGACCAAATCCTTAATTTTCAGTGATTTGCTAATAATTTTTACTCTATAATGTTGACTAGCTAGAATCATCCAGCAGAAAATATCCTGTTCCTCCATCTCTACCTTTTGTAGATAAATGATTCCCTTGTTTTCCATTTTATCCTTCCTGTATTTCTTTTTGCAAAAGTAAGCAGATATATTTGTCCCTTTTTTCCCCCACAAAAGTAAAACACGATATATACTCTTTTTTCCTGGATTTTTTTGGTTGTTGTTGTGATAGAATTCACATAACATAAAATTCACCCCTTTAAAGGTATAATTCACAAGATCATGCAACCATAACACTATCTAATTCCAGAACATTTTCCTCACTCTCCACAGAAATCCTGTACCTATTAGCAGTCACTTCCCATCCCTCCTTCCCTCAGTCCCTAGCAGCCAGTAATCTACTTTCTGTCTCTATAGATTTGCCTATTCTGGACATTTCATATAAATGGAATTATACAACACATGGCCATTCATGTCTGGATTTTTTCACTTACATGCTGTTTTCAAGTTTCATCCATGTTGTAGCATGTATTGGTACTTCATTCCTTTTTACTGATGAATAACATTTCATTACATGGATATACAATATTTTGTTTATATATTCATCAGTTGACAGACATTGGGTTGTTTTTATTTTTCGGCTATTATGAATAATGCTGCTATGAACATTCATGTACAGGTTTTTTTAAGGACGTATGTTTTGATTCTTAGGTATATACCTAGGAATGGAATTGCTAGGTTATATGGTAACTTTATGTTTCACATTTTGAGGAACTGCCAAACTGCTTTGCAAAGTGGCTGCACCATTTTACAGTCTCACTAGTAATGTATGAAGGTTCCAATTTCTCTACATTTTTGCCAACACTTCTTATTGTCTCTCTTTTTTATTTTAGCCATCCTACTGTGGATAAAATTGTATCTCACTGCAGTTTTGACTTGTATTTCTCTAATTACTAATGATGTTGAGTATCTTTTCATGTGCTTATTGGCCATTTGTATGTCTTCATTAGAGAAATGTCTATTCAAATCCTTTGCCCTTGGATTTTTTGTCTTTTTATTATTGAGTTGTAAGAGTTCTTTATATATTGTAAATACAAGTCCTCATCAAGCATATGATATGCAAATATTTCCTCCCATTCTGAGAAACTTGCTTGATAGTGTCCTTTGAAACAGAAGTTTTTCATTTTGATGAGTCCAATTTACCTGTTCTTTCTTTTGTCACTTGTTCTTTTGGTGTAATATTTAAGAAACCATTGCCTAACAAAGTCATGAAGATTTACTCCTATGTTTTCTTCTAAGAATCTTGCAGTTTTAGCTCTTACATTTATATTGATGGTCCATTTTTGGTTAATTTTTGTATGTAGTATGAGGTAAGGGTCCCACTTCATTCTTTTGTGTATGGTTATCCAGTTGTTGCAGCACAATTTATTGAAAAGACTCATCTTTCCCCCATTGAATTGTCCTGATTTGGCATCCTTGTCAAAAATCAATTGACTGTAAATATAAGAGTATATTTCTGGACTCTCAATTCTATTCCATTGATCTGTATGTCTATTTTTATGCCAGTGTCAATGTGTTTTGATTACTATAGAGTTGTAGTAAATTTTGAGATTAAGAAGTATGTGTCCTCCAGCTTTGTTCCTTTTCAAGACTGCTTTAGCTCCTTGGGTCCCTTACATTTTTGTATGAATGTTAGAATCAGCTTGTCAATTCCTGCCCCCCCCCCCAAAAATAATAATAACAAAAAGCCAGTAGGGATTTTGACAGGGATTTCATTGAATCTGTAGATCAGTGTGGGTACTATTGCCATCTTAACAATATTAAGTATTCTGATCCATGAACATGGGATGTCTTTCCATTTATTTAGGTCTTATTTAATTTCTTTCAGCAGTATTTTGTAGTTTTCAGTGTACAAGTCCTGCACTTCTTTTGTTAAATTAATTCCAAAAAGTATTTTATTCTTTTTGATATTATTGTAAATGGAACTGCTTTCTAAATTTCATTTTTGGAGTGTTCGTTACTAGTGTATAGATATACAATTGACTTTTGTATATTGATCTTGTATCTTGCAACCTTACTAAATTTGTTTATTAGTTCTAATAGTTACCTGTGCGTATGTGTATGTATTCCTTAGAATTTTTGTATATATACAAGATCATGTCATCTGCAAATAAGAGATAATTTTACTTTTTCCTTTTAAATCTGGATGCCTTTTATTTCTTTTTCTTGCCTAATTGCTTTAGCTAGACCCTCTAATACAAGATTGAATAGAAATAGAAATAGACATTATTGTCTTATTCCTGATCTTAGGAGGAAAGCATTCAATCTTTCACCATTAAGTATGATGTTAACTATTGGTTTTTCATAGAAGCCTTTTACCAGGTTGAGGACATCCCCTTCTATTCCTAGTTTGTTGAATGATTTTGTCGTGAAGGGTTTTGGATTTTACCCATATACTCTTTTGCACTTTGTTTTTTCACTTAACGGTATATCCTGGAAATCACTCCAAATCAGTTCATAGAGATTTTCCTCCATTTTTTTTTTTTTTACAACTATATAGTTCTCTCGTGTGTGTATGTAGTGGTGAATGTAACTCAAGTGTAAAATTAAATATGGTTTTAGGAAATCAACTTTCCAGGTAGCCTTAAACATTCTTTAAGCCTTAAATATTCCATATAGCTCAGCATGTTTACCCCTCATCACATTTTTCTACCTCTAGTTATCTATTTCTACTCTTCACATTCATAGGAGAGTACAAATTTGTGAGTGTGGCAAGAATACTCAATCCCCACTTCTACTGCCGAATACTAATTCCCATAGAAATCAAATACTCAAGTAGAAAGTAGGGACAGAGTGAGTTATATTGATTTTTAAAAGTTTAACACCAAAAATCTTAATTCAGTACCTACTATTAATTCAGTACCTAACTACGAAGTTAGGCTCATTAGATAATACTGAGATACAACTCATGCTCCTGAAGAACTTATAGGGCAGTGTGTGTAAGGGGGACAGACCCGCCAGTGGTTCAAATACAAGGCATAAAAGAAGTTTGACAAGCTATAGAAGGAATTTAATGAAAAGAGAGGTCACATCTGGTGAACCAGGAAGAGCAGCACAGAGAGGGGGCTTTTGGGAAAACCTGAAGGATGAGCTTTTTGACAGGCAGAGATGACCATGTGATCATTCTGAGTAGAGAGAAGATCCTTCCAATACTCAAGCACGGGAGCGAGAAAGGGCAGATGGGGACTCGGAAAAAATGAGGAGCCCAGCTTGACCACCAACTGTGGTTTTCATACATAGTTGACATATAGAACCCTTTATTCAATTAATTTAATCTTATGAAGAATACCAATATATAAAACGCATGCAAGTGGGGTTGTTCTGGTTGAAATGGAGGTTGAGAGGCTTATGAGTCACTCCCTGAGATCCATCAAGGAAGCAAATGTTGAAAGTCACTAGAGAGGAGCACAGGATTGGGGTTGAAGGCATTGGAGTAGTACCTTAGGAAGACCTGCAGCACAGGGAGGAGTAGGGAGGCATTAGGGTAATATATATATAAATATGTGAATGTGTGTGTGTGTGTGTGTTTATATGCTCTCCTACAAGTGTGGCACAGGAAGAGGGCTGATGACATAATAAGGAGGAATAAATGATGGAGATAGTGAAAGAGAGCAAGGGGAAAGGAGGGCAGGGAGGGAGGAAGGAAAGAGAGAGAACCAAGTTGTACACTGCTGCCAAAGCCAAAGGAGGGGAGTGTTTCAAGAAAAAATGAGTCACCAAAGAAAATGTAGAGATGGCAAATAAGCACATAAAAAGGTGTTCACCACCATTAGTCATTAGGAAAATGCAAATTAAAACTCTAGTGAGAAACTACTACACACCCATTAGAATGGCTAAAACTTAAAAGACTCACCATTCTGAGTGTTGGCAAGGATGTGGAAGATCTGGAACTCTCATACACTGCTGATGGGAATGCAAAATGGTCAATCACCTTGGAAAACAGTTTGGCAGTTTCTTAAAAAGTTAAACATACACTTGCCATATGATCTAGCCATTCCACTCTTAGTTATTTACCCAAGAGAAATGAAAGCATCTGTCTATACAAAGACTTGTACACAAATGTCTATAGCAGCTTTATTTAAAATAGCCAAGAATTGGAAAGAACCCAGATGTCCATCACCAGGTGAATGGATAAACAAATTGTAGTATATCCATACAATGAATACTACTCAGCAATACAGAGAAATGACGTGTTGATATACACAACAATATGGATGAAGCCAGACAAAAAAGAATAAATACTGCATGACTCCATTTATATAAAATTCTAGGAAATGCGTTCTACTCTATAGTTGCAGAAAGCAGAGAAGTGGTTGCTTGAGGAAGGGGGCAGGGTTAGGGGGATGGCTATGGTCATTATTTTGATTGCAGTGATGGTTTCACAGTTGTATACATAAGCCAAAACATACCTAACTGTACACTTTAAATATGTGCTGTTTATTGAATATCAATTATACTGCAATAAAGCTTTTATTTTTTAAAAAAAGAGAGAGTATGAAGTTGAAAGCTGATAGAGTTAAATGTAGAGGGAAGAACCAGAAGAGTAGGGATTAAAATGAGGCCATTTGACAAAAGTTCATTACTGACTCTGTGAGAGAGCAGAGTCATAAATTCATAAATTTATTTTCTCATAATTCTGGAAGCTAGAAGTCCAAGATCAAGGTGCCAGCGTGGTTAGTTTCTGGTGAGAGCTCTCTTCCTTGCTTGCAGATAGCCGCATTCTCACTGTGTCCTCACATAGCAGAGAGAGAAAGCTCTGGTGTCTCTTCCTCTTCTTATAAGGGCATCAGCCCTATCATATTAGGGCCCTACCCTTATGACCTCATCTAACCCTAATTACCTCCCAAAGGCCCCATCTCCTAACACCATCACATTGAGCATTAGGGCTTCAACATAAGAGTTTAGGAAGAAACACAAACATTTAGTCCATAATAGCTATTTAGGAAGTTTGGTCGGAATTGAGAAGGAAGCTTGATGGGGTAGAAGAATTAAGAATAAAATAGATGTGAACATATTTGTAGGAAGGGGCTGGAAAAGAGGAAGCAAGTGAGGATAGAAACAAAAGATGGGCATGGCTGGGACCTCGAGTGCAGGTGAGGGAGTCGGAGTTAATGGTTCAATTCAGCAGCTTCTATGGTCCAGGCAAGGCAGTGAGCTACTGATGGAGATACCCGGGCTCATGGAATGCTCTCAACAGCCCCATGAGATGGGGACATCATCCCTTTTTCTAGGTAAGGAAACAGGTTCTGAAAGGTTAAGAAACAGAGCCAAGATCACAAGCTGAGTGTTGGCCCTGGGATCTGATTGCAGAGCTTGTGTTTTCTTCCCTCTCAGCTCACTCACAGCCTTTCTAAGATCTCTTGAGTCTTCTGAACTGGTATATGCTATGATTTCCAGGAGACTGGGATAGCACAAGGGTCTCAGGGAAAAATCAAGATGGAAACTTTAGACTTTTTACCCAGGATTTTTTTCTTTTGCCTCGTTCTTCTTCAGTAATTCGAATATGGATAACTCCTTCTTTCTTTCTTTGAAGAAGAATGGTCTTTCCTTTGAAGCCTTAACATTTTTCTTTTAGTTAGTATTTTAGAAAAATGTAAAACAATTCCATCTATCGTGCCTATAGCTCCGTAAACAATAGGCATACTGGAAGATATAGATTTCCCTTTTTTTCTTCCCTATCCCTTCCTCTCCTCTCCTCCACCCTCCCTCTCCCTCTCACTCCTTCGTCATTACATTGTGCATGGCAGCATATATATATAGCCCACCTCCATCTGCTTAGGCTGTACCAGAATAGGCACACTGAGACAATTTTTCAGGTCTTGCAACCATGAAGCCCATCAGCGGTATTTCTTGAGAGGCCACTCTATAGAGAACACTCCAACTAGCCACCTTGTAGAATGGAGAATTTTTTTCAGAGCACTTTAGATGACTGCACTCTATTTTGGAAATAGTTATACTTAGTGCCTCACCCCTTCATTGTGCAAAATTATATCTCTCTTTCCTTCCCTCCTTTAATCTCTCCTCTCTTCCCCTCTCCTCCTCTTTTCTTCTCTACCTTCCACCCTCCCCCTCCCCGGCCCATGTACCCAGTCATTTACATGTGTTTGGGGTCAGTTGTGGCTGGGAGATAATTTTAAAACCAGTAAAAACCACAGGACTTACAAATCCAACAAATTTAATTCACTTCGGTTTGAAATATTTTAGGAAATAAGTTCAGATCTGAGAAATCGTGGTGGAATGGGTCCAACCAGAAGAAGAGATTCCAGAATTGTGAATGGCATAGACAGCTTGCTGGTAGCCCCAACTCCAAAAGTCCCAGACACCCTTACTCATCCTTCAGAAAGATTCCAGGCTACCAAAAGGTACGGCCCCCAGGGATTGTTTAAAATAACAGAAGTGTCCTCTTTTAGATCAGTTAATAACATAGTATTATGGGACTGAATGATGCTAAACTCCCAGAGTGGCCAGCATGTGTTTAATTTTTAAGACCTTGTATGAAGACCTTGTATGAAAACTGAGAAGACTCAGCTGCTTCCAGTACACTCCAGTCTATGATGGAGAGTCAACACTTCCTAATTCCAGCCTCTTTTCTCTTCTCTTCTCCCCTCTCCTCCTTTCTCTTTCTTTTCCCCTCCTTCCCTCCCTCTTTATTTTTCAAATTCCAAAGAGGGTAGAACACAAGGAAGAAGAATATAGGCCTCTCCAAATTTTCCATGTTTATCCTAAACAGAAAAGCACTGAACTACCCTCGCTATTCTAACAAGTGTTTTACCATTGCTTAGAATAATGGGACGGTGCATTGTCAGAGGGGCACGGCCTCTATGGAGATAGGTCCCGCATCATGCCCTGTATCAGGGATGCCCTATAATGTCTTGATCTCTTCTCTCCGTGATAAAGAAAGAGAGATGTTTGTATTCTGTAATAATTATAAATACTCTGAGTATTTTATTGGGGCATACCAATGACACTCTAATTTAATTCTGGCAAATTTAGAATGAAAAAATAATAGACAAAGCTACTCTACTACTCAAGATGCCATTAGTCTGAGACATGGCCAGAGTTTAGGTGCCCTAAATCCACATTCCCAACGTGTGGATGGAAGATTTAAGACCAATGTGTCTAGTTAAGAGGACCCTTGGGAGGCCACTTCAGTATAGGTACCCCTACAGTCTGGGCCAGGAGAGCACAGAGGAACCTGGGTAGTACAAACACTGGGCCAGGCTATGAAGTTTGGGACTCAGGAAGGACTGCTGATGCATGCTTCAGGCACATGGGGGTCCCCAAGGAGGATGGTGACACATCAGCATCCCTATGAATATAATGAGAAATACTTGAAGCAGGTGAGAATCACAGAGACAGAGCCACCTGCTCTCCTGCTGCAATGCCCAGTGCGTGGCCCCAGGTGTTTCTGTCCTCCAGAGGGCTCTCCAGTTGTCTTCTTGTTATGTGTCCACTTACTTCCTGCCTTGGGCTCAGATGTCTCTGTTTACTTGTCAGGGCCCCAGAGGCTTTCATGTCTATTCAATTAGAAAAGGTGTGGCTTCGGGACATGATGCTGAACGCCTTCCTCCTCAGGAAGCAAACCATGGCTGACAGAATGAAGAGCCCCGTGAGTGTTGTAAGAAGGGCTTCTCTAAAGCTCTCCTCATCTTTTACATTTGAGCAAATAAAAATTCTGAAGTTGGAATCTGTTGCTTTCGGCTTATTTGGATAGGACCATTGGAAATGTAAAGAACTGAAAAAGGGAATTCAATAAGAAACAGAAGGGAAGCAAGTTAAGCTAACTGTAGTCTAGTTTTTTAAATATGTGCATTTCTCCAAGGCCACATTTTGTTTTGTCACTTTCTTTTTTTTTTGTGAGGAAGATCAGCCCTGAGCTAACATCCATGCTAATCCTCCTCTTTTTGCTGAGGAAGACCAGCTCTGAGCTAACATCTATTGCCAATCCTCCTCCTTTTTCCCCCCAAAGCCCCAGCAGATAGTTGTACGTCATAGTCGCACAACCTTCTAGTTGCTGTATGTGCGACGCAGCCTCAGCATGGCCGGAGAAGCTGTGCGTTGGTGCGCGCCCGGGATCTGAACCCGAGCCGCCAGTAGCGGAGCGCGCGCACTTAACCACTAAGCCACAGGGCCGGCCCCTGTCACTTTCTAAATGGAACTGGTTTCAGCACCTGCTCTGTGACATTTGACAACTCCTGAGTGACCCACAGGTGCTTACGGGGTTTGGACAAGGTGAGCAAAGGCTCTTGCCATCTAATTCACCTGTTATCTTGGCTTTTCAGATGGTACTGCCATGTTTCTATTTAAGGGTTTTATACTAGCCTAATCTGTTGAAAAATATTATAAAACTCAAACTTTTACTCAGTTAAAAGTATTGCTTAGTTTTGTGAATATCATTTCATTATTCATTAATTTTTTGATGAGGAAGTCATTAGGCAAATACATAGTTATTTGGGAGAGAAATGACAAGATTTACAACCTCTAGGCTTTGTCCCTGCATGTGACTGAAAAGGAAAGATGTCAATTTACCTATTCCAGTCTTACAAATGAGATATGATGGAGGCCAGACTTTCTAGATTACTACTGAGCAATGATGGAGGTCAAAGATCCCTTTTAATAAGTAATTGAGACAGTAAATTACTTTTCTTTTACTATAATATTCAAAAAAATATTGACCAAGTGAGAGATGTAATAGCTCTCTGCCCTTCAGGAATTATACAATGCCTATCAGATTAGAAAGGCTGAGGCAATATAATTGTTTTGTCAAGGTCTGAGATTTCAGCCTACTTACAAGCTAATAAGTTAGCCTGTTACTGTTCTGAGGATGCTGGCAGAAGTCACAAGACTCCTAGGTCAGAGACAAAGAACTTTATTGCTCACAGCAGAGCAGGCAACATGAGCTTCATGTATGTGTCAGTTCCCTTTGCCTTCCAAGTCCCAAGGGGGCAACATGGAGAGCCTAGATGCATGCAGGTTTGTGTCACAGTTGAGTAACATTGAGCTTGGGGAATCCACCTCTTTTATAGCAAGCTTGCTCTTTTTCCTGGACGGAGACATTACCCATCCCTCAAGATTGCTCTCCGCAAACATAATCCTGAGCAACGGCCTGGGTAAAGAGTTGTCAGGGCCTTGCATTCTCAGAAAGATGTGCAGGAGCGGGAGTGACTCCTGGAGGAGCGAGTGTCAACAAGTTGACCTTCAGAAAGAATATCTCAATTGTGTGGCCTTTTCCTACTTTAAGTTTGCTATAAGCTTGAACACACATACTAACATTGACAGTTCCTATAGCCAACTGTCTAACAGAAGAACTATCATTCTCTTTTATCATAGGATGAAATTGGGAAAGTCAAAAGAGACGTTATAGTTGAATATTGTCAGAAGTAAGTATGGTATATGTGAACTACACTTGCTGATTTCTCTGACTCTGAATTCAATAAACAGCAGTATTATGTAGAAATGCAGACAGTGAATAGGCAGTTTGTGTTTAAATAAGCTACAGTCCTAGTGGATAAAACCAAACTAAACTGTCCTCTGACACACAGAGGAAGGAACATCAGAGGTGAAGGACAGGAGGCACTTTGAAGAGGTCCATGCCTCTCCCTTCAGGCAACAGCAACCTAAGATGGAAAGTTCTTCTGGACAGAGATCTTCTATTCTCTTTAAAAAGTCTCCAGGGAGGTAGATCCTGGAACTTGTGTGAGAGATGGAACAACTTGGATTCACCTTCCGGACCTTAACTCTTCTTCTGACTTTTCAGGTTCAACCGCCACATATCTCACTACGCTCTTCGGGGCCAGATCATGGCATATTGCAATAGCCTGAGAGCCCTGCTGGAGGATTTCCCTACCATCAGGGATACCTTCTTCATGGTGGGAAAACCACAAGAAAAGAAAGGGTTGAGGGACTCCACGGAGGGCCTCAAGGCTGACCCCAGGTGCGTGATTTCCTTTAGAGCTGGTCACTCCCCCTCCCCACCCTGCCCCTCCCACTGGAGAGGCATGTTAAATTTGGTATAGAAATCTTTCTCTGTTTACTGCATTGGACATTGACCTTCTGGTCCAGAAGGGCAAAAGAAGGTTAACACTCCAAGAATAAGAGTATCTTTGCATTTGAACCCAGAAGGAATTCTTTGTTTATGGGCTGTTGGACTGCTTTTCCAATCTGTGCAGTTTTGTTTTCCCCTGGAGAGCTGAGAGATTTTCATCAGTCACATGTTTTTACATAAGCCAGCATCTAAAATAAGCAAACAAATAAGTAAACTTGATCTTGAGATTTTCTGGCTTAAAATATTTTACTCAATGGAATAGAAGAAGTATTTAGAAAAAAACAATAACGCACCAGTGCTTTGGACAAATTAGTGTCCTTCTATATTTCTCTGATAGAGAAAAAATATATATGTAGAGTGATATTAAGTGATAAGAGCAGAGCTCCTTCCATACTTCCTAATCATGCTTTATCCAGTTTTCCAAATGTTCTTAAGTCAGCCTACCTAGAGTTCACTCACCTGGATGGAGGAGTCAGTGACCACATTTTCTTTAAAAAAAGAAAGGAGTGTTAATTATACAGTTATGCAGTCTCCAAGGGGGAACAAAAACACCCTGTAGGGTGAGTTTCCTCCCTCCTTAATATTTCCCTTACAGCACAGAGCTTAGTGCAAACTAACAGTAATACTTAATAAATATGATCATGGATTGATAACAGGGAATTGAAAGACCATTTGTATCAGACCACTCTTTCACCCACTCATTCATTCATTCGTTCGTTCCTTCATTATTCAACCATTATTTACTCAGGGCTTACTTAGTACCAGGCACCTTGCTAGGTGCTGGAGTTATAAAGGCGAACAAGTCATTGACTCTGGCAGTAAATTCAGTCTAGTGGGGAAAGCTCTATCTACAAACAATTAACTTCAAAGATTTCAAAGATAACATGTTCCAGTTATATGAAAAGTCTTATGAGGACACAAAAGAGGAAGTGTTTACCTCTAGCTCAGGGCATCAGGGAGAAATTCAAAGAGGAAGTGATGGGTAAGTTGGAGTTCACAACACAATGGGGATGAAAGAACTAGAGAATGTTAGAGAATGAAAGAAGTTGAATCTTTAAGCCCTTGACTGACTGATGGCTGGCTATCAAAGTAGTGGCCAGTCCTACCTTGATGCTGATAAGGTGCCCAGTTTCTAGATACCAATTTTTTGTCTCAGGAGCTCAGCCAGTGCATTTACTTGGGTAGACTTCAGGATTTACCTAATGGAAGGTTGTGTTAGAGAGAGAAGTAGGCAAAGATGCCTCAGGAGACTGAATATTTGCTAAAGGGTTTGACTCGACATCTGTTGCCCAATGAGGCTGAAATGCATCTTTCCCTCATATGAAACATCACAGGATAATCCTCTAAAATGTCTTAGTTCCGTTTTCTCGTCCACCCCCTAGCCAAGTCAACCATTATAAGCCCAATCTACATTTGGGATCAAATTTTAAAAATATTTTCCAGAAGTCTAACCACAAGTTCACTACATTTGTGTTTAGGATAAAATGTATTCAGGAAGTCTATTTTTGTTTCTGATCTGTTTTATTTGCAGCAACCAAATAAGTTTGTCCGGAAGGATAGAGGGAAAAAATCTAAACTTATAGGTCTTACTTTCTTCCTTTATTGTTTCTTATGGATGACTGTGTGTTTCCTAAAAATTAAGGAAACAGTCATTTAAGGGGGAAAGCCTAGAGCCCTAAATCATCTGCTCAGTTAATGTTTGATAATTTCAAGGTAGGGTTTTGGGCCAGGGAAGTGTGAGCAAAGTGAGTGCCCACCCAGAGCCCACGTCTTATAGTGGGCAGTGGGTGAGCAGCCATTGATATAGATTCAGCAGTTCCCCACGACACCTGTCTCCTACTTCTAATCTCTCTAGATTTTAACATGTCCCTTTTAATACACACGTAAAATGGAGCATAGAGAAAGCAACTTCTGTCTTCTGTGGAAGGTTGGAAAAGGTATGGTATAATAGTCTTTCTAACTCCAAAGTCTGTGATTCCATGTACTGAGAACTAATACAAATTGAACCACAGCCACAAGAAGGTATAGTGCAGAGAGCCATGGCCTGGGAGTTAGAGTATTTGGACTTTACCCAGCTCAATCATAAGTTGTTTTTAGGTCTTGGGCAAACCACTTTTCTTCAATCTCTGGACTTCAACTCTTCATCTCATGAGTGAGGAAATTGAAGCAGCTCTCTGAAGTTAAACATGCAAAGATTCTTAGTGCTAAGCTGTCTAGAGCTTGATTCCAAGAAATGGGACTACTGAGGAAAGACTTCCTGGAAAGAGGCCATTTAAGAGTGTTCATGAAGTGATAAATGGGGTCATCCCAGAGACCCCATTTGACATGAAGGGATAGAGCTGAGGAATGAGGGTCATGGAAGACAGAGGTCCTCACCTTATTCATAAAATAAGGAGTTGGGTTAGATCGAGGATAAGAAGTAAGTTTTATTTTAAATGTCAATTCCAACAAAGTATTGGTGCCCTGCTGAGGATTCTGAGACATCCCAAGCTTGTGAGACTGTTGTAATTGATTGGCAATGTCTGCCACAGTCAAGGAAAGGGAGAAAGGTGGCCTCCCTGCTTGTGTTTGCCATCCCTTGACTAGAAGAGCCCCATATATTCTGTAGGTTTAAAATTCTAAGACGCTACTTAATACTTAAAAGGCTGTAATGTACTGTTTAGTTTTAGCAGAGACCCCTGCCCCTGAACCAGAGTCTCTGTAGAAGAGGAGCCAAGGGGAGGTCTCCTCCCAAGAAGGACGTCCTTGAGGTCTCATGCCCTTCATAGTTCTAGAGGAGATGAGTCTGGAAACTAGGATGACACTTGGCCATACTCCCAAGAACAAGAACAAGGCTGATGGAGGAGAGAAGAAGGGACAGAGAGAGAGGACACTAACATTAATTGAGCCCTTTCTATATGATAGGCAGAGCCACCACCATCCCATACTGTTGCTTTATGCGGATTAGAAGAAGGTACCCCTTCCTCTGTGCAAGTGTAGCCCCACTCCAGGGTGCAGAGCTTGGCAAGTAAAGTATAGATTGGATCTCAGCCACTGCTGGTTGCCTCAGGGTACACCCTGAACAATAGCACATGGCAGCCTTGATGCCAAGTGCTGTACAGCAATGCATTAGACATGGTCCTTGCCCTTCAGGCAAGGGGAAATAGACAGGTAACTACAGTACATTGTGATAAAGGATAAAATAAAAGTATAATGAAAGCACCCACCAGGAAATGTTCAGTATTATGTGAAGGACTGGGGAGGTGGGAATAGAGAGCAAGGCAAGCTTCAGGGAAGAAGGGACACTTAACCTGAGTCTTGAAGGATGACTAGTGTTTCAGGTGGACAAGGAAAAGAAATTTATTTCCAGCTGGGAGGCCTGCATGTGCAAAGGCACAGGGATGTGAGATAGCAGGCGGACTTCTGAGTGGCCTCTATCTAGGATAAGCTAGGGGACGTGGGATCTACAGAGCGATGGGCAAGATTCAGAAGTCTGGCATTTGTTCTTCAACAAACAGGGAGAAGGGGAACAAGATGATTGTCAGGGACATTATTTAGGAAGCTACTGAAACTGTACAGACAAGAGATGGTTGGGAGATGAAATCAGCAAGGCCGGGTGCTGGATTTAATGTGGAACTGAGAGAGAAAGAGAAATCTGGGACATTGTGCAGAGTCTCTGGCTTGGGTGAATAAAAAAGTGGCAGGGCCATTATTGTTTAATGGGTACAAAGTTTCAGTTTTGGAAGATGGAAAAAAAAATTCTGAAGATAGATGGTGATAATGGTTGCACAACAATGTGAATATACTTAATGCCACTGAACCGTACACTCAAAAATGGTTAAAATAGTAAATTTCAGGGCCGGCCCTGTGGCTTGGCGGTTAAGTGCGCGCGCTCGGCTGCTGGCGGCCCGGGTTCGGGTCCCGGGCGCGCACCGACGCACCGCGTCTCTGGCCGTGCTGGGGCCGCGTCCCACATGCAGCGACTGGAAGGATGTGCAACTATGACGTACAGCTATCTACTGGGGCTTTGGGGAAAAAAAAGGGAGGAGGATTGGCAATAGATGTTAGCTCAGAGCCGGTCTTCCTCAGCAAAAAGAGGAGGATTAGCATGGATGTTAGCTCAGAGCTGATCTTCCTCACACACACACAAAAAAATAGTAAATTTCATGTTACATATATCTTACCACAATTTTTTTTTTGTAAGGACATCAGCTGTGCTAACATCTGCCAATCCTCCTCTTTTTTTTGCTGAGGAAGACTGGCCTTGGGCTAATATCCATGCCCATCTTCCTCTACTTTATATGGGACGCCGCCACAGCATGGCTTTGCCAAGCAGTGCGTCGGTGCGCGCCTGGGATCTGAACCGGCGAACCCTGGGCTGCCGCAGCAGAGCGCGCGCACTTAACCACTGCGCCACTGGGCCGGCCCCCTCACCACAATTTTTTTTAATGGGGAAAAAAGGATAGCAATGCCATTAAGAGAAAGAGATGTAGAGAAGGAGATAACGAATCACAGCTCAGAAGCCTCAGCTGTGAATTTCTTCCGTTAATCTCTCAACAAGTCTCAGGTGCTTCTTATTTTGGATGTTCTCTGCACCTTCATATTCTTCCATGCTGCCATGCTTCTATCACAGAATCATGTTTGCACATCTAGCTGCCTTGGGAATGTAAGCTCCTTAAGGGCAGAGGCTGTCTTCATTTCACATCTCGGGTATGTACCTCTGCCTTTGACCTTGGTTGCAAGAGAGGGTGTGTATAGATGCGGGGGAGAGGGTGGGGGTGCAGGAAGTGGAGGGAGTTCCAGCCAGTGGTCTTTAATTCAATTATGAAATAATAGACTATGTCATCATCTGCTGGCAAGAATTTGGTATGATGCTTAAAGAAGACTTGGATTATTGAAAAGGAAATGGGCATAAGAGCTGATCAATGGAAAGAAAAAGGATTGTCCCAGGTTGACACGGCTCAGGCTGGAAAACATTTACTTGTTGTGCATCACTATAATTAATGGTATGATTTCTTCCAGCTGTGCTCAGCAGCGTCTGACTAGAAACAGAAGCAGGATAGCTGGAGGGATCTAGAGTTGAGGTTCTGCTAGGTAGGTGGGTTGTGAGTACAAAGAATTGAAGGTGCTGGTGAGAGAGTAGTTCATGTGCTTGACTGTGAGACCCAGTCTGGGTGGGGTAGGGAGTGAGGTCAGAATGCAACTGACAGAGGGGAGGCCAGACGGGAAGGCCTGATGACATCAAAGAGCATATTTTATGGGGTTGAAGGAGGTTTAGTGGGAGTGAATGAGAAAACTGGAAGAATAAAAGACTGAGCTGGGAAAGTGGGATGTTTGAGTTGAAGTCTTCGGAGGTGATATTGCCTCAGGTGATGATAAAGTCTGGAGTGTGGCCCCAGGGTGGGCTTCTGAAGGGGAGTGAAGGTGAAGAGGGATGATGTTGAGCAGGTCAAGGAACTGTCAGGCCAAGGAGTTGATGGGCCATCCAGAAGGTGGGGAGGAATCATCCTTGTAGGGCCAAGAACCAGGCTACACTCCTGCACCGAGCACCCAAAGCTCTCTGCCCCTCAGCCGATGGCTGCTCATTGCAGGCAGGGCTGGAAGTGGCAGGAAATTTCGGATGAGAAGTATAATACTTGGTAGAGGGCCGTGTGGCTCCAGAGACGCATGTGCTTCACAGACGCCAAGGACAGGTTCAGCCACACTGCTGCCAGCCCCGTGGCCCGCAGGCCCATGCGCTCAGACGCAGGCCTCGTGACTTTTCATTGTTGATATTCAACGTTTCTTTGGGGCACCTTCAAACACTGTGAACTGAATAATAGAGATAAGACTGGATTAAGCTAGCTTTGATCTCCTCCAGGACAGGATAGTCTGACTTTGTGGTTGCTGAAATAAAGGAAATTCTCCAAACTAACACATACTTTGTTCCTGAGCTTTGAGTTACCTGATTAAAACCCTGAGACTTGAAAGGTAGGTTTAAGGCCAATGATTCACTTCAAGTAGAGTTTTAATGATTTAAAAAGTCTCATTCAGAATGTTCGAGATTGAAAACATTCAGCCCTCAGTTAAAATGAATTACATTTTACTTTGATAAGTGGAAAGGGGCATCTGAATTTCCCATAGAGACCCAGAAATAATAACAATAGTCAAAAAATGCCCCCATGATTTCCAAAATGTCCCCTAAAATGTAAGACCCTCCCACTGAGAGCCCTTGCTAGAGACAACAGAAGTAGGAATGACAAGTGAGTACAAGAGAGAGAGAGTGATGGGGTCAGAAGGACCTGAGGAGTAAGGGAGAAGGGAGGGTCTAATAATGACTCTCTGATCTCTGGTTTGGGGGATGGGGGTGTGAGGTTCTTTTACAGAGGGAGAGGCACAGGATTGGTGTGGAAGGGGGTGAGGAGTTCAGTTCTTTCCTTTTATGATTGAGGTGGTCTGAGGCACTGCCAGCCAAGATGAAGCAAGTTGGAACTCTGGCACTGTGGAGGGGGGAACCTGCAAATGTGAATTCAAGAGTCACTGGCGAATGGATGGTAGTTGCAGCCAGAAGAGTGAACACCATTGCTCAGGACTGGAGAGAGAATGAGAAGAGGAGAGCAGAGGGCTGAGGTGGACCCCAGGCGCCCTGGGCAGGAAACGGTGTGGAAGGAGGGGCTCCGCATCTACTGCATACTTCCTCCTGCTGTTTGTCTGTCTGTCTGTCAGGCCTGCCTGGGCTAGCATAACCAGGACAGGCCTGAGGTGGCACTAGTCTCTGGCCTTCCCCCATAACCCTCAATTCCAGGACATCCCTTCATTAGCATGTTCAGGTCCCTACTTCTTAACAAATGACGCTGAGGGTTCCTACATGCCTCTCTACCGGGCCACACGCATGCCTTGGCCCCCACCCACCCCTGGCCACTTTGCCAGACACCCCACTGTAGCATCATAATAACAAACTTTGTACAGCACCTCACAATTTATAAAATACTTTTCACATCATCTGGATACTCTTTTTGAAAATTATTTCTTATACAGGTCCTGTGAGTTAGAAATTATTATCCCCATTTTATGGATGAAAAGACTCAAAGAGGATAATTTGTCTAAGGCCACACAGCTGCGAGTGATGGAAGTTGGTCTCAAAATCAGGTCCTCTGATGCCAGATTCCACATCTGTTAACTGCACATATCACCATTTTCCACACCAGATGAGCACAATTACTTAGACTTGAAGGCACCAAATCCATCCAAGTGGGAAACAGCCCTCCAACCCCCACCCTATGTTACAGTGGGCTGTCTCACTCCTGAGATGATTATAGTCACCTCCCTCCAGTGGGTGTAGTGGAAAGATCACGAGCTTCCATTTATACGAAGGTCAAAAGCAGGCGAAACCCAACAAAATAGTCTTTTAATGGTGCATCCATTTGTGGTAAAACTGCAAAGAAAAGCTAGCATTGATAATGTAAAATGCAGGAGGGGGGTCACCAAGGAGGTGCACATTGGGCTTCAAAGGAGCTGGTGACATTCTATTTCTCAGGCCAGGTGTGGGTACCTGGGCTTGTGTGAATCCTTAAACCAGACATATATGGATTATGTGTTGGTATGTAAACCTGCAACCAAGAGACAGCTATACTGCTGCCTAAGAAGTGATAAGGTATTTGGAGGAGGAAGAAAGCAGAGAGGAGAAAGAAGGAAAAGAGGGCCAGAGTCTGGAGAACCTGGCAAGAGATGTGGAGGGATGGGAAGGAAAATAGAGGCTGGTCTCTAGAGCCTGCGTTCTAGAACTGGACAGATCTGCATTTAAATCTCAACTTCATCTCTTAGGAGCTGGGTAGGCAAGATCTACGTAACATCATAGGGCCTCAGTTTCCTCATCTGTGAAACAGGAACAAAATAGGTGCATCCTAAGGTGGTCATAAGAATTAAGTGAGAAAATATGTAACACCCAGTATGGTGCCAGCCGCCTAATTCACGCCCTTCCTTTCCTTTCTGACCACACCTTCCTTCCTTCCATGCCCACTCCTTCCTCCAACACAGCTGAGGCTAAAACTAGCCCAACTGCTCTTCTCCCGTTGGGCTATTTATAACTGTGGCCACCTGTGAGTGGCCTGCAGTGGAGGCCGGCTGCCCTTGGGCTGGGACACTGGGCTTGTGTGTCACCACAATCTGGGCTGGAGGGCGGTAGTATAAATGGCTCATACCGGGGACGCCTCTTTTATAGAGAGATGCTACCGGTGCTTTCTTCTAATGCCGCAGGACGTTTCAGCCCCGGCCACGACGTTTGCTGTCTGCTGACGGGGAAGTCTTCCTCAATTTATGGTTCATACCCCATCCTTCTGAAGTGCTGGTTATGTTTAAAACTCTGCCAGAAAAGGTTTGTATTTTTTAATGCGTGCCAGAATGGAAACTGGCTGTTTTTTATGTCTCACGGTTAAACATCAATTTCAGAGAACATCTCTTGTTTTTTTCCAGGGACATCGAATAACTGAAATCTTCTCACAGCTCCTAATATTTTTGCCTGCTTTATTATAATTTCTCTTGGGCCACATTATTTCGTGAGTTCTGTTTCTCCCTGGTCATTAATGAACACTAATTGGAGTTTCCAACATTCCTTATTAATCCTTGATTTCCTCCCAAACCCTTTGAGAAAACCCCACTCTGATGCAGTAACGCTAACGAGAGGTTGAAATCATGCTTAATCACAGTAATCAGCTGGTTACTGCTTTTTTTTTTTATGTTTATTTATTTATTTATTTTCCCCCAAAGCCCCAGTAGATAGTTGTGTGTCATAGCTGCACATCCTTCTAGTTGCTGTACGTGGGACGCGGCCTCAGCGTGGCTGGAGAAGCGGTGCATCGGTGCGCGCCCGGGATCCGAACCCGGGCCGCCAGTAGCAGAGCGCAGGCAGTTAACCGCTAAGCCACGGGGCTGGCCCTGGTTACTGCTTTTGAGGGGTTGCTCTAAGTACCCAACTTACTGACAGGGTAACCATAAAAAGAAAAAAAAAGAGTGGATATAGATATACATAAAGCACTCAAATATTTGTTAAATTCAGTGCAATGTTGAAAATGACAATTTGGGAACACTCTGATTTTTCTTTGTAAGTGAAAATCTGTTTAGCAACCTGTTTCTCACCCTTTTTTTCTTCTACCTCCTCCACCCCAGCTTTATTGGGGTTTAATTAACAAATAAAATTGTATATACTTCAAGTGTACAACATGATGATTTGATATAGATATACATTGTGAAATGGTTACCACAATTAAGTTCATCAACACATCCATCACCTCACATAGTTACCTTTTTTGGTGGTGAGAACACCTATCTACTCTCTTAGCAAATTTCAAATATATGTTGCAGTATTATTAACTATAGGCACCATGCTGTACATTAGATCCTCAAAACGTATTTGTCTTATAACTGAAAGTTTGTACCTTTGACCAACATCTCCCCTTCCCCTCCTTCTCCCCCCCCGCCCCACTGGCAATCACCTTTCTATGGGTTTGCCTTTTTTTTTTTTAGATTCCACATATGAGTGAGATCATACAGTAGGTGTCTTCCTCTATCTGGTTTATTTCACTTAGTATAATGTCCTCCAGTTTCATCCATATTGTTGTAAATGGCAGGGTTTCCTTCATTTTTATGTCTGAATAATATTCTCGAGCGTTATGTGTGTGTCTGTATCACATTTTCTTTATCCATTTATCCAGCTACTGGACACTTAGGTTGTTTCCATGTCTTAGCTATTGTGAGTGATGCTGCAATGAACATGGGAGTACAGATAATCTCTTCGAGATACTGCTTTTGTTTCTTTTGGATATATACCCAGAAGTGGGATTGCTGGATCATATGATAGTTCTACATGCAAAAGAATGAAACCAGACCCCTATCTTACACCACTCGCACAAATTAACTTGAAATGGATTAAGATTTAAATGTAAGACTGGAAATCCTAAAACTCTTAGAGGAAAAGCTCCTTCACATTGGTCTTGGTGATGATATTTTTGGATATGACACCAAAAGCACAGGCAACAAAAGCAAAAATAAACAAGTGGGACAACATCAAACTAAAAGGCTTCTGCACAGCGAAAGAAACAATCAACAAAATGATAAGGCAACAACCTACTAAATGAGAGAAAATATTTGCAAACCAGATATCTGATAAGGGGGTAATACTTCAAATAATACCTAAAACAAGGAACTCATATAACTCAATGGCAAAAACCAAAAAACCAATAATGTGATTTAAAAATGGGCAAAGGACCCGAATAGACATTTTTCCAAGGGAGACATACAGATGGCCAACAGGTACATGAAAAAGTGCTCAACATCACTAATCATCAGAGAAATGCAAGTCAAAACCACAATGAGATATTGTCTCATACTTGTTAGAATGGCTGTTATGAGGAAGACGAGAAAGAGACCATAAGTGTTGACAAGGATGTGGAGAAAAGGGAACCCTTGTGCACTGTTGGTAGGAATGTAAATTGGTACAGCCATTATGGAAAACAGTTCGGAGGTTCCTCAAAAAATTGAAAACAGAACTACACTTTCTTTCATTGAAGAATTTTCAAGTGTTTTTAAAAAATATATAAAAATACTACCTTCTGCAGTTAAATCATAATTTTTCACTTTTCTTTCACTTGAATGTTGTTGATATTTAAGATCCAGTGTTTGGTTTCAGTCATGTGTTTAAACTATGTTGATAAATATCTTGCTTTGTTTGCAGGTATTCCCTCAGGGCAATGTTGTCTGAATATGAGTCCCTGCTAGAAATTTACATGTGACTTTGTAATTCACTGATGGTCATACAAACACATTTTGATGGTGTTTATGGCCACCAATGGCTTTAAACAAAGAGAAACACATTGCTTTAACCACTACCTCCCCCCACACAGGAGTTACCTTGTCCAAAGACATATAACCCCGGTTCATGAATAGGTTTGTTGTTCTTTTTTTCAGATGTTATCCTGTAACTATTTTCCTGTATTATGCTCTGAAAATGTTTATCTAAATATTCTTGTTTAAAGGTATTGTCCCTAATTAATGCTCATGTATTTTTATATGCCTCTTAGAAACTTCTTAAAACTTATTTCCTTCTATTGATTTTACCCACAGGCAGCTTTCAGAGCCTTGATGCTAACTCTACAGCTGATAGCCCCTCTCCATGACATTGTGGCCTACCTTTTCAGTTTTGCTAAACTGGGAAATTGTCCAGCATGTTTTAAATTTCCTCTAAGTCCTAACCCTTTGAGAGGTGACTGGGGAGGAACCGAGAGCATTGGTAAGTGATTAAAGATGATTAAAAGCACCTTCAATATTCAGGTGAAATTCTATGAAGCTTTTTTTTTTCAGCTGTGTTGAGGTAGAATTGACAAATAAAATTGTAAGACATTTGAAGTGTACAACGTGATGATTTGATATGCGTATACATTGTGAAAGGATTCTCCCCGTCTAGTTAATTACTATGAAGCTCTTAATACTTGGAAAAACAGAACTAAAATATTTTCTCATAAATGACAATGATAAGAAGGGCAAAGGGAAAGTCTCATTATATACTGTCTCCAAACTGATTGGTTCCACATTTTCAGGTTAAACCACGAAGTATACCAAGTCAGAAGTTGGGGGGCCTGGATTTTTACCCTGCCTCTGCCACTTGGTTACTAGAAGCTGGGCACTTTAGTTTCTAGGTCTCTGTCCATCTATGAAATGGGAGTATAACACCTGTCTCATAGAGGTATTCTATGGATTAAAATCTGTAAAATTTCTAGAAGGATGTACAAGCCCCCATTAAATATTAGTTTTCTTTCATTCCTTTTTCTCTCGTGTCCTTCGCGAACTAATATGTCAAGGTCAGAGCCACGCATTCACTGTCAAGAAGCTTGCGGACAGCCGTCGGTTAGCTAACAATAACCCAATAGTCCTGTGATAAGAATGATTGAGGCTTTAGTTTCATATGCCCAGCGCTAATCCACAAACTCTAACTCAGCACGAGGTTCTAAGATAAATGCACGAGGTAAATTAAAGACCCCGAAACGCTTAGAAAGTTGGGTTTATCGGAAGCAGGGAAACTGATCTTGTTATTTTAATAATTTGACTCCTATCCAAATTATGTCATTAGTCATGTAAGTATTAATTAATAACAATATATTATAACATAGTAGCCAAGAATTTTAAAGTATGAGAAGAGCCAAAGAAATGAGGTAATATACCTATTTAAACCTAGTGATCTTAAAACAAATGTGATATCATCTGAGTCTTTTCCTCTCTGGCCGATGCATAAAGGAAATATGTTTGTGGGAGACCTTGACTTGTCTGCTGGTAGATTTGCACTGTGCTAAAGAACACTGAAGGAATCTGTAACCGCTCAGACAGGAGACATAGGGAAGGGTATAAGTGGCGATCCGAGAGGAAGATGGATGCCTGTATCTGAGGAAAGGCAGCATGAAAAGGGCGCGGGTTGGTGCTGCCTCAACAGAAAGCACAGAATTGTTGCAGAGTAATGAGCTTTCAAAACTGCTACCAAGCCTTCAGGATAAGCGTCAAGAGATTAGAGAAGTTCCAAAGCCCTCTTAGATCCTTTCCTTTTACTAATTTGGGGACTGTTGTAAAAGGGGTTTACTCAGAAAATAAGCTAAGACTCTATTAGGAGGGCTGCTGGATGTTGGGAGGGGATGGGGACTGGGCTTCAGATGAGGGACAGGAGAAAGGAGGATGGGCCAGGCAAGATGCCATCCTGCCCTTAAGATGGGGAGACAGGTGTTATGTGCAGATGAGATAGAGCCAGAGCCATGTTTCCAAAGGAAATCACTGCACAGGAAGTCCTACAGCAGCGGGGAGGTCAGAGCCTGTGGGGAAGGTGAACTAGGGGCACTTGCCCTCACTTGAATCAATGGAGAAACATAGGAGGGATGGTCCTGATAAGACAAGAAAAGGACATTGGCAAAGGCAACAGCGCAGTCCAGAGAATGGTGAACTCACCAGTGTGACACTGAGGAACAGTGGGAAATGAGGCCAATTGTTGAGGACCTAGAATTCAGGATGAAGGAAATTGGTTTCTTACTATTTATATACTTATGAACAGGAAACCATTGAAATATGTGGGGCCAGGCTTTCCGAGGTGTGCAATTAGAGACACACACCTTGTCATGTTGCCAGGAAAAACATTTGTGCTCCAGGGAGAATGCAAAGTTTTGCATACTCTGCTTTGCTGAAAATAGATAAAGAGCAAACTGAACTAAAAAAATCTCACTCTGAGATACTCATCTTTTTTAAATGGGTAGGCTGCTCAATTCCTGGCCTGCTTCCCAGAGGAGGCAAGGAGAATTAAGGTGAAAAGATGAGGTGAGTCTGTTCATATACCCACTCAACTCCTTTTAGCCGTCTCAGAGCTATTTGGAGTTAGATAAAATGACTTTTGTGGACTTAGATGCTTTAAAATATTTTTTAAAGAGACACTCCAGATTTCAGCTTTGGTCCTCCCATTGGCAGCAGAAGCAGCTCTTAGACGCTGTGGACTAGCTCTGTGGACCCTGCCAAACTCTTTCCTTCCTTGAAAGCCAGCAACTCCCTTTGGAGTCAGCATGAAGCAGAGGATGTAATCAGAATGTGGGAGTTTACATTGTGATTTCCTTGTAAAGGATTAGGAGGCCAATTAAAGCCCAGATACTACACACTAAACTTAAGGTTTCAGGAACTCTCAAGACAAACTAGGAACAAGGTGTCCTGGCTTTGAGTATTCACATATTCACATGAAGGCATGGCCACTGTGATTCTTCTCTCTCTCTCTGATTTCTCAAATGAGACCCTCCTGGGACAGGCACAAGAAAAGGCTCATTTGTTTCCTGATGTTTCCTGGGGCAGGGTCCACTCCCAACCCCACCACCTCCACCACATGGCAACCACCTGCCCCATCCTCACAGAGAGGCTGCCTTCCCCACCATATCTGCTGCTTCCCCTCCCACCAAGCAGTGTGACCCCGCAAAGAAAGGGAAGCCAGAAGCCAAAATCAGTAAATAACAAAGAGTAGTCCCCCCCTCCACATCTGTATTTTAATAATAATACCACCTATCAACACAGAACAGTTTTGCTGGGAAGTGATCATGGAAAAGTGCCCACATAGCACTATATAAACAATAGTGGAAATAGTGAAAAGAGGAAAATCACCTATAATGCAACCACTCTAACAAGTGAAATACTTTTATTTAACTTTACTCCCTTGTAACCCTTGCCCAAATGAACTTTCCATTTACATTTTATGGAGCTTTAATCACAGGGTGTGTGCAACTTTGCAGTCCTTTTTCATTGTCATTGTAGAGGATTATAAACATTTTCCTGTGATTGCTGCTTAGCCTGGCATAGTTCATTGCTTGTAGACCAAACACACTAGGCCTTGAACAAATAAGGCTCATTGACCACCCTCTACCCATCCACCACTAAAGGTCTTGTGCAGTTCTCTCTAAGGTGATTCTTCTCCTGGTGGCAATTTCTTTTCAGCCTGATATGACCATCAGATTTATAAAGGAGTCATAAAGAGTGTGATGATTGGATCCACTTCTTTGGGGGCTGGAAAAATATCCAAAAAGCAATTTTTGTGTGTGTATAAAACATCAAATGGATATGAAATCTGGGCTGCTCATCTTTTCCTAAAGCCAAGAGCATATACTGCAAGTATTAGCCACCAGTGTCAGCCCTAGTTCTGCCCTGATCAGGCTCTCATGGACGACTTCCTCACTCCCTCAATTCCTCTGCCTTCCATGCCAGATATGTGGGAAGAGATCCAGTACTGGGCCAGGTAGGGTAGAAGGCTGCTCAAGTCTGGACAAGCTGTTGAGATAGAGTAACTCCGGAAATGCCTCGTGGGTCTCCCGTCTCACTTCTGCTTAAGGCATATCAGGCACAGTGATCAATTTCCACAGCCCTCTTCCCATAGCAGGGATGTCTTCTCCAGTAGAAAACTATCATTTTCCTCACTGATGAGCATTTCAGATCAGCTGACATTCTGGTTGCACTGGAAGTATGGGCCCACCCATGCCCCACCAATGCTCCCTAAGGGCTCGTCCTTTTCTTACTGTGCTGTCCCATTCTGACCAGCTCCTTCCCTGGGCCAATAATAGAGATGCTAGTACAGCCATCTAGACCCAGGCCATGTTCCTCAAGCCAGCACTGAGTGCCCCAAAGGCCCTGAACTTAAATTTCCACCCAAAACATGTGAATTCTATTTATACCCAGCCTACTTCTGCAGTAAGAGTCCAAGAAATAAGCTAATTTAGGATCTCCCACACCTACTTCTAAAATGATGAGAATATCCTAGAAGGATGTGTGTGTGTATACACATATGTGTACATATTTTTTGCTTGCCTTTGATGGTCTTGAGTCTTCCTTAATTTGTGAGCCAGTGACAAGATGAGCCAGTGACACAAAGGGCTGATTTGGATGGTGTGGCTATGAGAAATGAGAGCTGGTTTATAATCTATAATAATTTCAAGCTCCTAATAGATCTGCTGAGGCCTATACTTTCCCATTCCTTGTAATTTCTCTTTTTCAATCTATTTAGAGACTATAGCCTTGTAAATTTTGAAACTTTCATTCAACAGCATGTTCTTATTCTGCTGAAAAACAAAGCAAATTTTTATCTTCCCGGAGGAGGAAGGAAGGAAGGAAAGATAAATCAGACCTTGGGTTCTAGAATATAATGCTTTGCTGGTCTTGCAAACAATATAATTAGTATACCTACAAACAAAGAAAGAGCAATCCATTTAGGTAAAAAGTTAGCTTTGGAGGTGAAATGATAGTCCCCTGGGTTAGCTATAGTAGCCTCTATTTCACACTGTCTGGCTAAAGTGCTGTTCATCTTCTAGGGTCTGAGCTTCAAGAGCTGCAGAAAATGATTGACAGCCTCCAGAGTCCCCAAGACCCTACCCAGGTGTCCCAGGCCCTCCTCCTCCGAAGGGAGGTGATGTTTCTGCAGTTTGATGCTGCAGTGAGGCACCTCATCCGGTAAGGGCTGAAGCATTAATCCTGTCTAGTGAATTCTCCAGGGCAGGTGTTTCTGAGTGATGGTGGAAGGAGGCCACTTGGCAAGATTAGATAATGAGCTTAAAATAGTCAGAGGCACCACCTGGTCCAGAATACTGTGGCTACCAAACGTGTTTGGCTGCAAAGGCTGTCCGTGCAGAATGTGTTCTTGTCAGATAATAATATTCTTGATTTTATTAAATGTCCTTTCAATACAGTTAGTTTGCATAACAACTGCTGCTTTCAATGTTCAGGTTGTTTTATTGGGAATAATATTTTTTATGCTTCTGAAGATGGTTCTTTCCAAGAGGTTTGTTGATTTTTTTTTTCTGCTGAGGAATATTCACCCTGAGCTAACATCCCTGAGCTAATGTCTGTGCCAATCTTCCTCTATTTTGTATGTAGGGTGCTGCCACAGCATGGCCACCGAGAAGTGGTGTAGGTCTGTATCAGGGAACCGAACCCAGGCCACTGAAGCCAACCAAACCCAGGCCGCCAAAGGGGAGTACACTGAACTTAACCACTAGGCCACAGGGCTGGCCCCTGAATTTTGTTGATTTTTTTCAGCCTTTATTGACCTTTTAAAAGAACAATTTTTACTGCTCTTCTGAAGCCAGTGGAATTGGCTGCCTGAGTTACCTTTATAAATAAATAAATTTACCTTTGGCCTTGTAGGTGTTAAGTACTCTGCAAACAAAAAAATGTTTATTTGGTTAATTAATCATGAGTGATGAGAAAATTAGTTTGGATTAAGAGTCACAATATTTCCAGTAAAAATAAGTTTTGTATGGGAAGGGAAGAGGTCAGGCCTGAGGGTCTCTGCTCATTCTTAAATTGTCAAAACTAATTAACTTTCTTTGATTAATTCTCAGTGTGAGATTCAGCCAACAAAGGGACCTCGGAGGGCAGTGCTCTTTCCTGTGGATTGTAATCACTTCCCACCATTCGCGTGGGCATCCATAGAGAATGGAAGTGTGGGGATTGTGTTGAACTATATTTTCTCTTTCTCCTCTGTATTTTCTTTACTCTGAGCATCAGGGGACTTTGGATTTAGAATGTAAAATCAAAAGGACAAAAAAATCAGGCGAATGTGTTTTCTTTTTATGGACAAACAGCTTTCTGAGATATAGCTTAGTCAAGCAGGTAGGATGTAAAGACTGACCAATTGTAAAGATGGCATTCATTAGCTCTCCGGTCTCTGAAACCCTGAGTCAGAATTTGCAAGGAATTTACACAGGGTGAAGAAATAGGACTATACTCCAGAAGTCCTTTTTTGGATTCAGCTTCGCAGGGTTCAGTTTGATACTGTTCTCCCAGGGAACCACTCTGCCTCCCCCAGGAATTGCTTTGTGGGCTCTCTTTGTCCTGGCACAGTCAGTCTGCAGGAATGGAGGGCACGGTGTCCTATGTGTGGTTTCAGTGTATTTTTCGGAGGACCTCAGAAGGAACCACCCAGGACAGTATACCTTCATTCATCGCATTTCCTCCGGCCTTTTTTCTTCAGGTTGTGTGTCTTTGGAATCACACAGCTAGTCAGTGGCGGACCAGAATTAGAACCTAGGTGCATCTGAGAACCAGGATGGACGGCAGGCAGCAGTGTGGATAGAAAAGGAGACTCTGAGGAGAAGGCAGGAGGTGGGACAAAGAGAGAAGCTGAAAGATAAATGTCATCATGCTTGATCATTTTACTTCGTGCTGAACTTGCAAACAAGGAAAAGTCCTTAGATAATCAAAAGAGACAGGAAACTTGGGAAATTTTCCCTGCTCTTCCCAAAGCTCACCACGTCTGAGCAAATATGACTGTTTACCCTGGGGAACTTTTTGCTTATGTAAACCACAGGCTTCTCCAGAATCTGAAAAGAAAGAACTGAACTCTTCCCTGGAATGAGAGCAGCATGCTTCGGTAGGCTGCGGGGAGGGGAGGAAGGCTATAGCTCAAGGACAACAGGACAATGGCCCCACACGGTCACCTGATGTCTGGCTCCTGCTTCTCTGTGGCGAAGATCAGCTCGGGTTTCAGGACAGATGCACGTTTCTAGGCACAAAAGTTTCACTCTGCCCCTACTGACCTGCCCCCCACCAAGCCTGGGCAAGGACCTGACGGAAATTGGTGCTGTCCTCCAATTGTGTTGGAATCACTTTGCCCAGGGCCTCCTCTGGGCATTCTCCTCTGGGCATGTCCACCAACCTATAGGAGTTATTTATTAGCCAATTTAAGAAATGCCTGAGGATTAAGCTTATCTTTAATTTCAGGCGAATTAATCATTTGCGTTGAAGGTAAATGCTTGGATGGCACAGTGGTTCTAATTAATCTCATATCTTTTAAGTCAGAGGTCGGCAAACTACTGTCATAGGTCCCTGCCTGATTTTGAATGGCCTGTGTGCTAAGGATGGCTTTTACATGTTTAAGTGATTGGGGAAAAAAATGAGGAAAATACTAGTATTTTGTGACACATGGAAATTATATGGAATTCAAATTTCAGTGTCCATAAATATGAAGTTTTTTTTTAACGCAGCCCTGCCCGTTCATTTATGGGTTATCTCTGACTGCTTTCACATGACAGCTGTGGAGCTGAATAGGTATAACAGTGATGGTATGGTCTGCAAAGCTGAAAATATTTACTGTCTGACCCTTTAAGAAAATGTTTGGCACTCCGTGATTTAAAGGATCCAATTCCTTTGCACTTCAGGGATGGAGGGAGGCAGAAAAAAAAAGGTCCTCAAAGGACCTTTTAGGACCTATAGAACAGAATAAAATATATGGCATAAAAAGTGCCTCTAATCTGAAAGTATTCTTGATGTTCAGGCTGATTAGTAAAAAGGAGACACAGGAGGAAAGATCTGGAAGGCCCTATCACCTCCTGTATACCCTGATTCAGGAGGACATCAAGGCATCTCTAAAGAAAGCAACACCAGCTTCTTAGTCCTTGAACTTTTGTTGGTTTTCTCTTCATTTTTTAACTTGATTTTCATGCTCATCTAGTTTAAGTATCTCTCAACATGCAGATCTTAAAGTGTGCTTTGGGGTTATCTGGGGATTTCTGGGAGGTACAGAGAAGGCCTCATGTGGGCTGGAACTAGCTCATGACCATGCTCCTGGTCGCCAGTGTCGGAGAAGTGAGGAGCCCTGGCCTCCTTAGGGCCACTTTGCGGGTGTTTTTTGTTATTTTTTCTTTCTTATATCCTTGCCTTCCGGGAAACACTCTAGCATGTGCCCTGTGAATTCTCTCCTCCGTGTGGTTGGAATCAGCCTGCCCAGGATCATGCTGTGGGTAGCTCTCTCGTGCACAAGATAATTGGTGTCTAGGAAACCCTGGACTGCTTCTTGACAGTAAGGCAGTTAGAGTGTGGCAGAACAGTCTGGAGAATTCGTGCTCTATTCCAGTATTTTAGTGGGCTGCTGGGGACACTGACTTTATTAGGGGCTTGTGATCGGCAGGTGCACCACTGGCACAAGCAACAAGCCAGCTTTTCGTGCCTGTGGGTCTCCCTGTATCTTGAGGGCTGCTGGCAGTTGCGCTGGTTAGACTCCCCCCCAGTAGAAGGCACAGGCCAGCGTTTACTGACTGAGGATCTGAGTAGGTCATCCCAGGGGCTCGTGAGGCATTTTCAGTATTTCTAAAGGCATGATGAAAAAGACACATTTGCCCAAAAGCTTTGCAGGTACAGAAAATGTCAAGTTTCCTTCTTTCTTTTGTTTTTTTTTTGTTTGTGAGGAAGATTAGCCCTGAGCTAACATCTGTTGCCAATCCTCCTCTTTTTGCTGAGGAAGATTGGCCCTGGGCTAACATCTGTCCCCATCTTCCTTACTTTATATGTGGGATGCCTGCCACAGCGTGGCTTGATAAGTGGTGCGTAGGTCTGCGCCTGGGATCCAGACCTGTGAACCCTGGGCCACCAAAGCAGAGCACACGAACTTAACCACTACACCACCAGGCAGGCCCCTCTTTCTTTCTTTTTTTAACTGGAATCATAATAACTGAGCAAGATAAGGGGGAGAGGCAACTTGCTTTGGTCAAGTTCCCACCAGGTACCAACTCCATGAGATAGAAATCATTTTCACCGATGAGCAAATAGAGATTCAGAGATGTTGCGTAACTTGTCTCAGGTCACACAGCTTGTTGCATCAGAACTGACAGTCGCAGTTTGTCTGACTCCAGAGCCCTTTTCTTTCCTTTCTATCGTGTTTCTTCATCTCTTCCTGCAGCTCAGAGCAGGGGCTGGAGCCTGAAGTGGCTTTGAGTTAAAAACAGGAAAATGCTCAAAGGATATTTGGTAGAAAAATCTTTCAAAATATGGGGTCCATGGAGAGGGAGGAAATAAAAGAGGATCTAGTGCTAAAAATGTTGCCTATCATCTCGAGACCCCTTTCTTTACATAGCATTACATTGTACAGCTCCCTAAAAAATAGTTCTATTGATAGAGGAAGATGGCTCCTATGAAGGCCAATGATCTAGACTGAGGAATTAGGAAAGTGAGGAAAAGGATGACCAATGATTTGATCATTGGGGTGCCTATAATCTGACTCTGGTCTCTTTAGAGAGTGTGTGTCGTATTCTATGATTCTGTAGCTTAGAGTAGCAGTCACATGGACATCTGAACTGTATTGATATTTTTGAATAGTCTCCACGCAATAGACTTCGTCTCTACCCAAAGCCGTGTTTGGGGCTCTAAAACTCTTGCTAAGAATTGTGGTCATTTGTGGCACTTGGTAGTTCCAAGATCTGCACAAACTTGCCAGGATAACTGAGTATGTCAGTGTTCTGTGTTCTTTTAGGTGATGATCAGTCAAGTGTAGCCACTAGAGGAGACACAAGAGAGACTCAGGAAAACAAAGTCTATTATACTCACAAGTCCTAGAAACAGGATGCATGCCACGCCACACAGGGCCACATTGGAAAACATCCGTGGCTGTGTCGGTTAGGAGCAAGGAGAGTACTTAGGCCGTGGCCTGGAATGGAGAGGCCGGGCAGGGTGAACAGTTTGAGATTGGCTAGTTTAAATAGTTCCAGCCAGCATGTTTGGAACTGTACGAGTGGTCACTAGTTGCCTAGCCCTGGGATGATTGCAGCAGAGGAATATTGCCTCCCGGGGTGCAAGAGTCCAAGAAGAGAAGTAGGACTCTGGATGGGTTGGTTTGCATCTCAAAGGTTAATTTGCTCCCTGCTGAGCCCTTTGCTATCTCTAAGAATTGGCTAGCCCAGGAGGGGCAATCTCTCCCCAGCCAGGAAGGTTTTCTAAGATGCCAAAAGATCACAATAAACAGAAAATAAGTTTTAAAATATAAGCAATACAGTCAAGGATTGAACAAGTAAGATGTGAACAAAGCTGGATCCAGATGCTGAGAGAGAAAAAATCCCATGGATTAGTGAGAGAGATGAGCAAGAATGATGTGAAAGGAGCCAACCAAGGAGAAGTTGTGTGGGATACTGGGCTTCTGTGCTCTTGATTTGGGCTGAAAATAAATGTTTTCCTTAGAATATTCTGCTTTTTGGTACCATTGTTTTAAGTAGATATGTACAACCTATAAGAGAGGTTGTATATAGAAAGTGCCTTGGGACTTTAGACGAAGGTCAGAGGCAGCTGGATAATGAGCTCTGCCTCATCGGGCCCTACTGGGCTGGAAGGTCAGACCCATGTGGGACCCATCTTTGTATCTCGGACAGTTCCTGGCACAGTGCCTTGAACGTAGTAGGTGCTTGACATATCACTGTCACAGGGTGTTGAGTGAATCCCTTGGCAGGGCCCATTGAGAATCATGAGAAAACCTTTGAAAGATATAAGAAACAGGATAAAATGTTTATATATCCCTTGAGCAACTCCAAGGTCCATCCTTGAGCTATTAGGATAAATGAATTATTTTATCCAGTGTCTCAGTATATAACAGCACTCAACTATCTTTTGTTAATTCTCATTAAAATGTGCAAAGAGTGGAATGATTTTTGTACTAGTACAATGGTTTGATGTGCAAATATAGAGCTCCTTTGATCTGTCTTTGAACTTAAGTTCGTAAGCCCTTACTTCTGCTGATGGCAAAATATTAAACTTTCCAATTCCATGTCATTCAGCCAAATGAAGAGTTTGAGAGTGGTCAGTTTGACACTGAAAATCAATTAATTCAAGATTATCCCCCTTTCCCTTTGTTTTAATTGCCTCCTATTCACCCTGTTGGTGAGGGAGGGATTCTGCCGTAGGGTATCGGGGATGGCCGAACACATGACACTCAACACCGGGCGGATGAGATCCACAGCAGTTTATTAGTCACATATACTTACAGCCCAGAGGAGGAGGACACTGCGTGCCATGTATGGCACAGAGCAGGTGCCCTTGGGAACAGAGTGAACAACCAGGGGCTGTGGGAGACGAGCTTTGGAGTATCAAGAGGTTGTGGTGCTCCCTGGTTTCCATAGGAGGATGTGACTGGTTGTTTGAACAATTTTGTGGTCTGGCAGGGAACTGAAACCACTACTCCGGGATAAGCAGAGACCGTGCTTGTCCCTTTGAAAAGGAAGATTGTTTGACTAGAAGACTTTACCTGTGGGAGCAGAGTCAGGAGGGGAACTTGTTAGGCCATTAGAGGTCCTCCCAATATTACCAGATGTCAAAGCAGCACATAATATTGGACCTTAATTTTAGGCCTTACATCACACCTTTCCCTTCCTTCATTCCTCTCAGAAGTACTCTAAGTTCCTGGGGGTGCTTATAAATCATCCCGGCAGTGGAGGAGGAGCAGCCACCTCCCCATCTCTGTTGTGGGTCAGCTGGTCCAACCCCAGATCTCTTCTGGTTGGGCCTGCTGCTCAGCCCTTCTCCTGTCACCCCCTTGTTGGGGCTCAGAAACTCCCCAGGTCTTTCCTCAACACTTTGTCTGCTAGTCCCTGGGGGGAGGTTGCTTCATTTCTATCAGTGCCAATATCTCCCTTATTCATTGCTGATCTCCTTTTCGATGTCTGCTTTATGCAAGACTGGGGCAAAGCCCGTGGAGGATCCAGGCAAAAGGTCCCTTCGGTTCTGGGATACCTTCCCCCAGCTTATCCTGTGTCAGCATTTTTTCTTAGGCATCCACTAGATCTAAGCTCTAGAAATACTCTTTCCTTGTTTGCAAAACTACTGTTTCCTTTGGGGCAAGAAAATCATCGTAATTTATCATGCATACTTCCTTCTCTATAACTTATGGTATAAATTTCATGCTCTAGTCTTCAGGATTTTTGGTTCTTGATATGCAAAGCCAAATTTTGTTTAAAACAAAACAAAAAGCTTTCTCTCTCAAACCCCAGGCTCTAATTACTTAATTTAAAATTTGATTTTACATATCAAGAATGGTTGTCTCAGTTATTGGTCTTAAAATAATCAATTCAACAAGTAGTCTGAATCTTTGTTCTAGAGCTACAAGCTGAACTGCACAATACAGTAGCCACATGTGGCTATTTAATTTAGTTTAAATTAATATTGATTTAAGTGAAATACAATTTAAAATTCAGTTCCTCAGTTGCAGTAGCCACATTTCAAGTGCTCAACAGCCACATGTGGCTGGTGGCTACCATATTGGACAGTCAAATATAGAACATTCCCACATTGCAGAAAGTTCTATTGGACAGTGCTAGTCTAGGGTATATCTACCTTTCCCTTGAGGACTGTGAGTTGTGAGAGTGAAGGGCAGTGTGTAAAGAAAGGGGACTGAGGAATGATGTCACTGAGGAAGAAACCTGTTAATACCTCATAATGTTATCTTGCTACAGTAACTTTGAAGAAAGTTTTGAGCTTTAGAAGCTTAAGCAAACTGCTTTTAATGAGATTCCCCCCATGTCTTGGTAGAAGAACATTTTTGGCAACTGGAAATGCTCCTGCCTACCAGGCTGTCACAGACGGCATGTACCACGGTTTGCCACCACTGAGCAACTCTCTCGTGAAGAGCATTTTTGCTTCACAGCTCGGCCTGCCCCAGCCACTGGATCCACGGAGCCCCCAGGTTCGTTGAGAGGTATTTTTATACCTATAAAAGATGTGTTGTGCATAGGGGATTTTGTCACTTTGTTTCCATTTGGTTAAAGTTTTGCAGGGGATCTCCATAGTCTAAAGCCCTTGGTTGGCTCCCCTTCTTCACACGGTAGAGCAGTCTGGGCCCCTATGGCCAGCTGTTATTCCCAGTAAGGGTCTTTGCCTCCAAACTGCTCAACAGGCTAATTGGGGCAACTGCTCACAGCTGATAGCAAAACCAACACTTGATCTTTTCCATTTAATAAATGACTATTACAGTAATTACAATACATACATTAGGTCAGCAGCTGAGTTTTGAACAGCCCTGGTTACTGTGTTATTGAACATAATCCTGTTATTGAACGTAATATTATTGCTCCCAGGCACCAACAATATTAACCTCCTTCTGCAACCAAAGAGTTTAAGATTCAGGAAAGCTGGAGATCAGACGGCTGGGCAATCATGGCAGCACTAGGTCACAAACTGTGTTAGTTATCTATGGCTGCATAACATATTACCCCAAAATTTAGCAAATTAAAACAATAAACATGCATTATCTCATATAGTTTCTGAGGCTCAGGAATCTGGGAGCAGCTTAGCTGAGTAGTTCTGGCTCAGGATCTCTCACAAGGCTGTGATCAAGGTATTGGCCTGGGCTATAGTCATCTCAAGGTAGAGTCTTGGAGGAGAATCTGCTTTCAAGCCCACTCACATGGCTGTTGGTAGGCATCAGAAGATCCACTTTCAAGCTTACTCATGTGGGCTTCTCCACAGGGCTTCCTCACAGCACAGCAGACGGCTTCCCCAGAGCAAACAATTCAAGAGAGAGCAAGAAAGAGAATCCACGATGGAAGTCATAGTCTTTTTATTACCTACTTTCAGAAGGGACATCCCATCACATTTGCCATATTCTCTTTATTAGAAGTGAGTCACTAATTTCAGCTCACACTCAAGGGGAGAAGTAAGCCCTACCTCTTAATGGGAAGAGTATCAAAGAATTTGTGGACATATCTTTAAAACCACCTCACAAGCCCACGTTTTGATTCCAAAACCTCCAATTTAATGTTTTTACGTTACAAAGCTAAGCCAAGAAATGCCAACATTAATCCCATGTAAGTTCCACACTTCTACCTCCCCTAGCTACAAGACAATGACTCTTGGCCCAATGCGTGACCCTCATTTAGACCCAGAAGACAGGGTCTGACCATTGGGCTTGTTCCTGCTGCCTTTGGGTGTTGCCTAGAATTAGGTGGATGTAGGTGTCCTGGCTGCCAGCTACTTGACTCAACTCCAACTCTAGGAATTGTCTGAAGCCAGTAGCATATCTGGAAGTATAGTGTGGGGTCAAGTAGACATACCCACTGTATCCAGGACTGCATGTGGTGCCAAAGGAATAGGGGGTGCCTTGGCTGTTGGATAGTGATATGGAGAAGACAGAGGCCCGTGTGTAACATTGTGGCATTGGTTTTGAGTTGTTACTTAGCTTTGGAGCACAAAGGTGATGAAGGACAAATTTTTAAGGTTCCTAATATTGGCAACATTTGAGTGAGTTTACTTTTGTTGATTATAAATATGTCCCATTGGTATGATACTGTTCTGGAACTTCTGAACACTGGTGCTGACTAGTTACACTGAAGTCTTAAGTACTCTTCAGTGGTTAGCCACTTTCTGAAAAATCAATTAAAAAAAATAAGATTAACCGTCTCCTCTTGATGGATAGTCCCTGATACTGTAGAACTATTTCTATATAATGAATAAATCATCCCACCGTGTTTTGGGGTACAGACATAAACATCCTGTTCATATACAGATGTCTATTACTTATGGACACAGTACAGCATTATCATGTTTATTATTTGGTTCTTTTAGGCATTTACGCTGTTCCCTTGGAGAGCATTTCTGGAAGATGGAGGACCATTTCCAGTTATGAGTAGCAGCCCAGATACGCTAGAATATAATATGCAGGTAGGATAAGTCTTCCCACTTGTCACAGAGAGAACTAAATGCAGCTTGCAAAGCAGGTGTCATTGGATCCATAGGTCAGATCCTCCATACTCTAGCCAGTGGTGAATAATTAATGAGATAAGCAAGGTGTTTGATTATGAAGGTGTAAACCCAATGCCACAAGGTGAGTCATGTTTTCTTACAACAGAAGAGAATCATGGTCACAGCTGGTATTGGCTTTGGTTGTAGACTCAGCTGAAATTCCCATGGCCAGTAATGATCTAGGAGAGTGGCCATCCATCTCCAGTCACTCTCTGGGCCTATTAGAGAAATTCCCAGGCTGGCAGCTCAGGGGCATGTGACTTTTGACCTGCCTACGAAACGGTAGTAGGAAGAGAACTCTTTAAGCAGGACTCATAAGGAGAATTTCTTTCAATTATGTGTTTTCCCCCTGATTATTTAAGCAAATATTATTGTGTTTTCATTTTAAAAAATAGAAAATATGGGAAATTATTAAGAACAACATGAAAATCAATCATAAATTTGCTTCAAAATCATATGAAGGTGGAGCATGATGGGGATGGGGCAGGACTGGCCATAGGTTGATGGTTCTTGTGGCTGGGTGATAAGAACTATTCTGTTTGCATTTGTATATGCTCAAAATTCTCCATAAGCAAAAAGGTTTTTTTTTCCTAAGTAAAATAGTAAGAATAGTTAAGAAAATCAATCATAGTCCCTGACTAGGACACAGTCACAGTTCCCATTTTGGTTTATTTTTTTCTGGTGTTTTCTCTATGCATATATGTGTTTATATCTGTACTTCTAAAGGAAAATTGATATCATATTCTACATTCACCGTGTACAGACACCACTGTAAGGGCTAGGAGACTCGGAGTTCCATACAGAGCCAAAAATCTGATATGTTCAAGGAGGACTTTGAGTTAGAAATGTTACTCTGATTTTTATGGCTTTTTTAATAGTTGAGAGGGTGGGGCTTGTAAATACAATTACTTCTAGTTTTCTCCTCCCAAAAACATAGGGATAAATCACAGTGTAAAGGATACACAGAAGTCTTCAAAATGGATGTTTTTGTTTTGTTCTTTTTTGCTTTTAGCTGTGCCTCTGCAGGCTGAGTGACCGTGACCTCAAGGTGGCTCATGGAGAGCTGGTGGGCATGCAACTGCTGATGGAAGATGTACTTCTGAGCAACTATCACACGATCATGGAGGGTCCCTCAGGACAGCAAGCCACACTGGACAAAAATACACAGGTATTCTTGCTGGACAGTCTACATAATTGGCCAATTCTGTAATTGTACTGAAGGACCTTCCTCTATGGGAGATGGACTAAAGAGCCACGTTTGTCCCACAGCCTCTCCAGTGGGTCTCAGGCCTGTGCTAATGCTGCTCGGGAGCAGCGCTGAAGCAGGGGTAGCCTGTGAAAGCCACTCCAAAGTATCTTCTTTCACGATAAGTCCTGTGATTAGCAGTATATCCATTTCTTTTAATGTTAAAAATAGAACAGAGGTTGTGGGAGGTCCACTGAAACCAAATGGAACAAATACTCCAATTGGCTGCTGTTCTTTGTGAGTCACATATTTAGGACTGGAGTTGGAAGAACCAGAGGGATATGATAGAGGCCCCGGGTGAACATCTCCAGCCTGGGCTCCCATCTTCACCGCTCGACTAGCCTATGGGCTCCTAGGCAAGCACTCCCTCCTCTGGACTTGTCACTCTAAAGCTCTAAGGTGCCAAGAGCCACTAGCACACCTAGTGTCATAACTTGAAACAATTCTGCATGTATCTAGGAACCAGACAGAGACTTGTCTGGACACAGAGTAAGCTGGCTGGTGCCTCTGTTTAAAAAGCCTCCTTTTCAGAGCGAAACTTTTTGAGAGATGCCTGCATCAGCCATCTCCATCTCCTTACCTTCCATCCACTCCTCAGAAACTGCCATCTGTCTCCTTCCTCGTCTCACCACTGACCACTCTCATCAAGAGCACTGTGTTCCTTGTCACTAAATCCCCTGGATACTTTTCAGTCCTCTTCCAACCTGACCCCTTGACAGCGTTTGACACAGTGTGTCCTTCTTGAAGCCTCTCTGTCCTTGGCTTCCAGAACACAACTTTCTCCTAGTTTTCCTCCGACATGGCTGGCCACGCCTTGTAGACTTCTCTGTAGACTCCCCTACCTTTTCCAGTCCTGCACATGTTGTTTTCTGGGTTCTGTCCCACTTCTGCTATTACCAGGCTGCATTTTGACTTCCACGACTCTAGTCACTTTTGTCTGCATGGGCCCCTTCCTCCACAAAAAGACATTAAAAGTTATAGTTTACAACCATGTTAATATAAAAATATATTAATATAACATATTAAAGCACTTTATTCAACCTAAATGTTCTTTTTTTTATGATTTTAAGAGAAATTAAAACATTTTATGGGCCCTAGGCACTGTGCCTTCTGTGTCTAATCAACAAGTTGGCCCTGAATACTGTTAATACGACTATAAGCTATGATTGAGATCTGTTCAGAGTGCTTTATTTATTGTTAATTTCTTTAATCCTCACAATAATTCCATGAGGTAGGTACTTTCATTATTCTCATTCTACAGATAAGAATACTGAGGCTCAGGCCGGCTCCGTGGCTTAGCGGTTAAGTGCGCGCGCTCCGCTACTGGCGGCCCGGGTTTGGATCCTGGGCGCACACCAACGTACCGCTTGTCCGGCCATGCTGAGGCTGCATCCCACATACAGCAACTAGAAGGATGTGCAACTATGACATACAGCTATCTACTGGGGCTTTGGGGGAAAAAAGGAGGAGGATTGGCAGTAGATGTTAGCTCAGAGCCAGTCTTCCTCAGCAAAAAAACAGGAGGGTTAGCATGGATGTTAGCTCAGGGCTGATCTTCCTCACAAAAAAAAAAAAAAAAGAATACTGAGGCTCAGAAAGGTTAAGTGATGTGCCCAAAGTCACATGCCTAGTGAAGAGAGAAACCCAGATTCCAACCTAACAGTCTGGCCCGGGAGCCCCCTCAGACTCTTCTCTACTATGTGGCTCCACTCCTCACCCTCTCCCTAGGCAAATCCATCTACTTTTATAACTTTGATGACTTTACATGCGATGACTCCAAAATCTACATGTCCATCCCAAATCTCAAGCCATCAGATTCATACATTCCGCTGCCTTGTTCCATCTCAGAGACAGTCTGTTCCAAACTGAGCTCATTCTACTGCCCCAAAACTTGCTCTTCCTTCCATACTCCCTGTCAGTTAACCACCGTCTGCTCAGTCACCCAAGCCAAAAAATCTGGACACCCATCTTGGACTTCTCTCTATCATACCCCGTAATTAGACAAGTTTTACTATCCTATTATTTTAATATCTCTCAAGTTTGTCTACTTTTCTCCATCCTCCCTCACTACCCCCCCTCCACCAGTCCAAATCATCATCATCTCCTAATGCTGGGCTATGATCATAACCTCCAGTTGGACTCCCTCTATTCACTCTTGCCTCCTTCCAGTCCATTCACTGGGATAATATTTTTAAATGCAAACCTGATTATGTCACTTCTCTGCTATAACCCTTCAATGACTTCCAAATGCCCTGAGAATAGAGTCCAGGTGCCTTAACCAGACCTTCTTGACTTGACTCCTGCCAGTATTTCTACCCTCAACTTCTTTCATTTGTCAAATCCACCTTGCTTTCTCTCCTCAGTATCTTCACGCAGGCTGGTATCTCTGGTGGAACACTTCCTTCTCCTCCCGCTCTCTACTTCACCATCTTATTAACTCCTCCTTTTCCTCCAGGTTTCAACTTCTAAACCATTCTTTTGGAAGCTTTTTCTGATCTTCCACCTCAGAGCTGATGCCTCTCTGTCCAATTAGGGAGAACCTGCTATAAGTCACAGGTTGTCCCACTAGCCATGACTTAAATTAGAGAAGTGTGTTAATCTTTCAAAACAAGTCTAGAAGGAGGCACTTCAGGTTGGTGTGGTCACTCAGGTTGGTGCAGGCACCCAGCTCTACCATCCTGCGTGTGTCAGCAAAATGTCTCCCTCATCCTTGTAAGATGACAACAGGAGCAAAAAAGGTTTCTCCTTCAGGGGCTTTACCTTTTATCAAGGAGGAAAGTCTTTTCCGGAAACTTTCCAATAGATTTTCCTTGTGTCTCACTGGTTAAAACTGAGTCACAAGTCCACTCCAGGCCAATTAGTGGAAAAGGAACTGTGTTTAGATGTGCAATCTAAATTCCACAACAGAATTAGATGCTTCACCCAGAGGGACCATTTGCAAAGCTGGGTATAGACCAAGTAGTGCTAAGATCCAGAGGCATGAGGGGCCCTTTGGTCCCTCTGTCGACCGTTTTCTGGCCCTGTTCCTGATGGATTCTCATCTTTCTCTGACACTCGCATCCTCACCACCTTGTTCTTGATCCTGTCTCTGTTCCTTCTCCCATCCTTTAAAACACTTAGGAAGAGAAGACTTCGCTTAATATGAATATATTAACAAGGTAAGTTTGCTTTAAGATTATTATTTATTTTAATCAGTTTTATTTTATGATTTGTTTATTTACGAGTATTTAAATGTTCATAGACAGTAGGAAGTAGTGGAATTTATGCTGCCCATGAGTTAGGACTCAGGGTTTCCTGTCACAGCTGTACCATCAGTTCTGTGATCTCATAGACTTCAGTCTCTAACACTCCAAAGTGACGGTGATGGATTAGCTCAGGGCCTTTAAAACGGTGGTCCCAGGAGCCCTGGGTTCCTCAGAGGCACCTTGGGGCTTTTAGAGCGAAGAGGGCCAACTACGTGGCCTATGGGCTGCCCCTTCCCTGTCACCATGCTTGGCCTTGGTCTGTTGGATATTTTGGGCCACTGGGTAAGATTTCATTTGATGAAAGGTTTCTGAGGATAAAATAAATCTGGAAATGCATGGATTAGCTGATTGTTGAGGGGCAGGCTACAAGGTTGAGGGGTTGCCAGCTGTCTTCTGGAGCTTGCTTACTCCTGGATGTTGCTTGCCAACTCTTCCTCTGACCAACCCTCTTTCTGGCAGCCACACCTTGCTTTAGATATGTTAATAGCACTGATCTAGGATCCAGTTACACCAGGTGGTTGTTCTTCTTCTTCCTAGCCAGGAACTTTGAGTGTCTAAGGTGCTGTCACCTGAGGCCCTTCTTGTCATAACGTCATGATCCAGATTTGCCATCTTCCTCTACAAAGGAAAACTCCTTTTCCTGTGACTGAGATGCTGTCACCAGGCTGAGGGCCTGGACCCAGGTCCCTGTTCTGTCTGTCACTCTTTGGGTGACCCCAGCCCTCACACCACTGGCTGCAGGACAGCAGGGACTTGAAAACCCTGTCGCTTCCAAATCCTCCAGGGCTCATAGCAGCCCCTCAACAAACACCTCTTTAAGGACAGCACCAATGAATGAATGAATGAATGAACAAATCATAATTTTAAAGTAAAATTGCCTATGGAATAATACATTCAAAGTAAGAGACATGTTCTCTGCTTAACTTTTAAAGGATGGGAGAAGGAACAGGAGATAAGACAAACTTAAGTTTACATTTCCTTACCTATAAAATGGGTAAAATCCCCAGTTTAAGGTTATATTATAGCTCTACCATGATGGAGAGTTAAATCTCGAGTGTGTTGAAGAGCACTTTCCAGAATTCAGAGGCTAAAGCTGAAAGGCTCAATTTTTCAAAGGCAGATAAAATGTTAGTACCCAAGTAAAGAGTTTTAAAAATGAGTGGTTCAAGACTCAAGCAGAAAGCTGAAGTGGAGACATTTCTCTCCCTTCCGTATACCGTCTGTTCAGGAAGATGCTTACCCTCTCTAAGCTCTACATGTGCTGCAGGCCTGTAAACCATTCCTCCTGGGGAGAAAGTCATTCCCCAAAGACTTCATTCTGCGTGGGCTGCATGTAAAAGGTTATCCTGTTGGTCCATGATCAAAAAATAAGGATTTCTGTAATGCTTTCAGCCAGATTTGCCCAGAGTGCCAGGATTCAGAAGTCACTTCCACAGCAGCCCAAAGGCCTCCGAGCTGCTGAGGGGCCCGTGCCAGGCAGTGAAGTCCCTTGCTTTGCTGAGATCACTTTTGGTACTGTGGAAGCAGCTGGAAGTGCTAAAGGAGCACTGGGGCCAACTCAAGCTGCGAGGCCAGGACATCAATTCTGTCTCTCTCCACAAACAGTTCTCGGAGCTCTACGGGTGAGTGGGGCTGAAGTGGAAATTCATGTGAACGAGCGGAACCCGGGGTTTGGTGAATTCCTGCACCTCGCTCTGCGGGTGAGATTTCGTCCGTGAATCCTGGTACACCCAGCCCCACTGAGCCCAGAGGAAGCTGGGCAATGTGTCTCTCCAAACAATGCTTTACAGGGAAAGCGGGGTTCTACTGAGGTCAGGGACAGCGCTGATTCCACTAAGCAACACTGTATATCATTTACCCAGAGTTCTGTCCCTGGGAACTTGTGCTTCTGAAGTGTCCCCATGGCTCTGACTCTGAGCATTTAGCTCCTGGGATTCCAGCGAGCACTGGGTGGGGAGACGCTGCTGCTGTGAACTTCACTCCACTCTCTGCCCCATTAGACCCAAGTGCTGAGTCTCTGAGAGCTTCGTGCATTGCAGCCAGAGGTGTAATAGGGTACGGAATGAGGTCTAAGGTCTGCGAGATGGTGGGGTGTTTTCGCAGCTTCAAGCCCTGGCTGGGATGACTTAGCTGGCAGGAAAGACACATTGTCTCCACCATGTGTCTGTTACCAAGCAAGCATTCACTAAGCACCCACCCACCGTCCTGAACCTTATTGATCACAAGACGGTTCACTTTGGTGGCATAGTCCAAATTGTCTTATCTTGTGAGTTATGACAGTCAGCTTTCCTGGTAACCAGAGAATAAGAAACCTTGTCAATATTTTGAAAAATGAAGACTGAAATTAAATGTACCCAATGGGAAAAGGCCTCCAGATTGAATATTGACTAAGGGAGTGGCAACTGTGCTGAATTTAGATGTCATGTCTGTGATGGGTTGGCAGGTTTACACATGATGACAGGAAACAGAGCACGAATGAAAATAATTGTCAGAGAATCTGAATGAGAAAAAATACATTTGTTTGCTAATTTTTGTCTTTCTTCCTTAATAGAACTGACATTCTCTACCCCAGCATGAAAGCTATAGCTAGGCGGATGGGGAAAGAAGATGAATTTGAAGGACTTATAATAAGTAGTCAGACTATTCTTCCCCCCAAAGGAGCTTCAGAAATTGAAATAAAAACTCAGCAGGTATGCAAGAGCTATTTTGAACTTGGCCTTGAAAATTTGCTTTATGGCATTAGTTATAAAACTACAGATATACCCAAGTGGTGTTTTTTTCTAAGTTAAGTAGAAATCAAAGGTTTGTAAATCATTGAACAGGTTTGGAGGGAACTAAGTATTCAAAGGCGTGTGGGGCTTTGATTAAGCAAGTAACTACCCTTAATGTCTCACTATTATAAGTCTAGATTTTCATATTTTGATTTTCCTCAAATTAGGGTGCATCACCACAAAAAGGACTATGATGGAAAACATAACCAGCATCTTAAACATAACCTAGCATCTTACACATAAAATCCAGCACACAAGTATCCCCCTCAACACACACACCCATGGAAATGGAATATTTAATATGGCTCTTGTGATTGTTTTTCTGAGAATAAGACAACACAATCTAGGCACCAGCCCATCTGGTGTGTGTTAGATGATCCATGTGGAGAGTTTGTTTCCCTGAGTGTTTGTTCACCTTGGTCCTGGGACACGGGCTCCACGTGGCTGCGCTTATTGTAACAGGTGACAGAGCCTCAAGCTGTTGGAGTGTCACTGCAGAGATGTGTGTCCACTGAGCATCGAGGAGAATTCAGCCCCCCACCCCAACACACACACACACACACACACACACACACACACACACACCCCAGTCCCAAGCCCATTGCTTACTCTTCTGAACCCTGGTTCCTCTCTAGCAGTTGGAGTCCTCCAACAGGGAGGAACGTGGGCTCTGCAAGCATAATGGGTAGAGTAAGGGCTCATGGTTATTGGCACAGTTCTCTCTCGGTCGTGTATGGATTTTTAAATCTTCTCATGAAATCCTCTTTGGTATCTAAATCAAGTTTCAGACCTGAGGACTTTCTTACAATAACAGCTCATGAAATTCCTGGCCAAATTTAAGATACCAAAACACCTGAGGTCATCTCAGACATTGAGCACTTTACATTTAGCAGAACTTGGTAAAAAGAGTTGTATATTATCAATCAGGATGTAGGCCAGGAAGAAAAGATGTTGGTCTCCAAAGAGCTGTATCTACCCCCGCAGGAGTGCCTGGGAGCCCAAGAAAGGAACCCTGTCTTCTTCCCCCAGAGAGAGTAACTGAAGGACAGGACCTAGCCCAAGGGCCTTATGCAGGAATTTGACTTAGGATTCCAGGGTATGAACTGAATGTGGAGAGTGACTTTCAAACTGCTTGCTCTAGCTTCAGAAACTTCTGGAAAATCTTGAAATTCATATGATCCAGGAGGTATTAAGAAAAGTTAACAGAGAGATAACACTGGTTGTATCAGAAAAGTCCAAGGAGCAGAGTACTCTCCCTACAGGTAAAGTATGTTTATTTTATTACTTCACAAAATAACATTTATTGTTTTTTCCTAATTATAGAAGCAATCCATGTATCCATATTCATGGTAAAAAACACTACAATGCCCAGAAAATCATATAAAAATTACTTTTTAACACCTTGGCCCAGAGAGAAGTACTATTAACACTTTGATATATTTCTTTCCACTTAATTAAATAGAAAACATTTGTTAACTTCAGTCTCGACTTTGCTGATTAACTCATAACTGAAATAAAGTTGAAATGTGGGAAACACATAAAGCTTTTCTTATTGGTAATATATATAAGTATATATAAATATATATTACACACCTGTATGTCAAAATCTTACAAATACATATATTTGGGGTGGGAAGGCAATCAAAATTTTCCTTTCATCTGAGGTCTAAAGTCAGGGTCGCCTCAGGGGCATGTGACCAGTGCACTCACATAGGACTCAAGGGCGCTTGGGGTTGAATGCTTTGTAAGTGCGTATTGAAACTTGTAATTTGAACTTGGAATTTGTGTTTCGTAAGTGGAATCCAGTGAGTCAATGGAGCATGCACCAAGGGCTTGGAGCCTTGGCTCACACACAGCCCTACGTCCTGCTGCCTCCTCGCCTTGCCAGAAGGGGTTTTCAGTTGCCTGCACCCTGCTCTCTGGCACTCTGGGCACCCCTAACATCCCCCTCACCATCCCCACCCAGCAATCACTGCCACCCTCCACCCCAGTGGGAGCCTGAGCACAGTGAGGGTCTGGGTGGGGCTCCTATACTTGGCAGCATCTCAGGGACTGCAGGCTGGCAGCACTGCGGTGTGTTTGATGGGTGACTCAGTGGGGGCAAGCCTGTTGCCCATCCCCAGCTACCTAGAATATCCCAGGACAGACGTTGCAATACCTCTGGGGGTTGCCTGTCCACAGTGGGTTGGGGCAGTGGGCCCATGGGAAGGGGAGACACCCGGCTCCACTTCTCCACCCCTGGCCAGGGCTTGGGGCCTCAGTCCGGTAGCTGGTGGGTACACTCATGCACCTAGCACAGGGCGGGACCCCTGAGTGCCTGTGAGGGTTGCACTTGCCCTGCAAGCATTCCCATGCCCGGGGAGTGCAACATTAAAAACAAATAAAAACACCATGAGAGGTCAAGAGAGAGACTGCAGAAGAAAGGAAAACACGTTATATTTTGGAAACTATAACGGCACTTTCCCCCTGCTTTTTGAACAAGAAGCCCTGCATATTTATTTTGCACGAGGTGCCATAGATTATGTAGCTGCTCCTGTCTGAACTACAGCGTCTACTCCTAACTCCTACTGAACCCACAACTTGAGCTACAGAGGAGTTGTCTGACTAGCAAAATAAATTAGGCTTTCCTTTTGAGACCAAGTCCACAGATATTGTACTGTTAATTAATAACCTCTGTCCTCACCTAGGACATTGTCATTTTATCAGTGCTTCCAGTCACTGAATTCTGTAAACAGGGATTGGGATAAGGCTGTGCAGTGAGAGGGCCAGCCAGTCCCCAGCTGGCCACCTCTGAATGTCACCAGAGAGCTGAGTGTGGTTGAGCTCCAATTACAGAACATTGAACGAGACACAAAACGCCTGTTGTTTGTGCTGTGTTTGCTGCATCCGGGCGGCGGCCCCCTTCCGAGTCCTTGGAGAAAATCCACAAGCACGCAGCAGGTGCAACCATCTGCACGTTTCAGGGCTGCGGTTCTTATGAGACACCCCGGTGGGGGCTGGGGGAGGAAGCGTCTTTGCTTCGTGGCTGTGCTGTGTGCTGTCTTGTGCAGGGTGCTTGTCAGCTGTGCTTGGAAGGGACCTTCAGTAAGGGGCGGGGGGAGTCAGGCAGAGGGGAGGGGTAGAGTTCTTTTTAATGGGGTAAGGTTGATATTACCAAATCTTACTTTGGCTAAAGTATACTGGCCAATTTTAAACTCTTGTTCAGATTCTGTACTCATAAGACTTGTAAAATCAATGCCAGTAGTGAGGGTGTTTTGTTATTGTTGGGTTTGGGTTCAGGTCTGTTCCACACAACTCAGTGTGGAGGCCTGGTCTCCTCCTGTACTGTTCCCCCAGTGCACGTGATGGAGTCCCCACTGTGTGCAGGGTGCTTTTATGTACATATCTTCAGTTTAGTCTTCCTGAGACCTCTGTGGGCTGCGTGCCTTCGAAGAAGGCGATAAAACCTTGGAGTCCCCACCCACCTACTGCTCATCTCAGCAGTAAGAAGCAGCCATAGTGGATGGGGCTTCCAACAGGGGCCACTTCTTCATGCAGAGACTACCCTTTGTGGCCAAGGTTAGCTTGGGGCTGGGGGGTTTTCCAAAGGGAGTTGGGAATAGAGAGCACTGAGAACCGGGGGACATCACAGGCTCTTATCCTTCCCTCGGGGTCTCCTCTCTCCCTGTTGGCCGACTCCGGTGTCTACATTTATACCTACATTTATACCTGAGAGGGGATCCTCAGTACTCCTCCCCTCTACCTCCTTCCCTCCTTCCCAGCTTCTCTGGGGGCTTAATCTTTTTGTACAGCTTCTGAATGAGTTTCCAGTTCGTCAGCGAGCGTCTGAAAGTGTGGCAGCCACAGGTGGTCCGGTGCTACCTTTTGGTAGCTGAACTGGTGCTCCCCTGAGAACTTTCAAAAGTGGCTCCAGAAATCCTGGTTCAGCCTCAGGGCTTGCCTCATCAGAGAGTCAGGCTCCACTGCTTCAGAAAGGCTCTGCCATTCCCCATCTTTGACATTTTGGTGTTGAAGCAATTTTTAATTGATTTCCTAAATTTCTCTGAGCAATTATAAGGCCAGCAGTCTCCAAAGTGGTGTGCATACATCCCAGCGGTGTGGGAAGAAAATATTAGAACTTCTAAATAGATTAAGTCCATGTGTAAGAAGTCACATGTCACACTCCACACTGAGGTGTCCTGAAGGGACCATGGGGAGGCAATCCACAAGCGAACAATAAGAAATGGTAGAGGTGACACGTCTAATGTGTGAAGATAAACACATGCTTCTCTTCAGCCACATTATGAGGTTAAAAAAAGTAACCTAATCACACCTGATAAGAAATCAGACAAAAAATTTGAAAAAGTCAAGGAGACTGTTGGGAATATGGATTGAGATCCATTCTCACCACTGATGAGCCTCACCCTATGTACATCACTCTTTGCAACATTAGGCGTGATAGTATCGTAGGTAGTTACAAATACATAGACATACATACATTAAAAGAGAGTGAACCAAAATGTTTTGCTTGAGGGAAGCACAGTCAAAACACTTAGGAGAGACTGGTCGAGGCCAGCATTTCCCCAGCAAGGTGCCTGGAACACGAATTCCTCACCATGTTAATGCAGGAGGTCTCCCAACCACCTTTCACTACCAGCCTCATGGATTACCTGAAGCTTTCCCTTCCCGTGGTGATACAAGCCAGCACAGCACTCACTAATCCCAGTCTTTGGGTTGCGTGTGTTTACCTAGTATCATTGACCATTGTTTGCTCCAAACCTGTTCATGCCGGTTTTGCCTGTCATTGTGTTTGAGTAATTTAATTAAGTATTATGTAAACCAATGAAATAGGAGTACAAAAAGAAAGAGATCTGTTCTATAAAAACTAAGTTGAAATAGATAAACTGTGGGACATCCAAACAATGGAATATTATTCAGTGCTAAAAAGAAATGAGCTATCAAACCATGAAAAGACATGGAGGAAGCTTAAATGCATATCACTAAGAAGCCAACCTGAAGAGGCTACATACTACATGATACCAATGAATATATGACATTCGAGAAAAGGCAAAACTATGGAGACAGTAAAAAGATCAGTGGTTGCCAGGGGTTTAGAGAGGAGAGAAGCATGAACAGGCGGAGCACAGAGGATTCTTAGGGTGGTGAAGCTATTCTGTATGACATTGCAGTGGACCCATGCAGTTTGACACATGACATTTGTCAAACCCATAGTGTCACCAAGAGTGGACTGTAATGTAAACTATGGACTTTGGATGACAATGATGTGTCAGTGTAGATTCATCAGTTGTAACAGATGTACCACACTGGGGTGGGATGTTGATAGTGCGAGAGGCTGTGTGTTGGGGATGAGGAGGCAGGGGATACATGGGAACTTTCTGTACTGTCTGCTCGATTTTTCTGTGAACCTAAAACTGCTCTAAAAACAAGAAACAAAAAATGACGCATTTGGATTGTTTCATGGTCTTTTAAGTTTTCTCTCTATAAAAAAAAGAAACAAACCAAAAACACACACATACTAGAAATTGTAGACCATGCACTATGTATTATGGTTTATAGAAGAAAAATGGTACAGAACTCCAGTGAGTGGGTACACACCAAGAAAAGTCCTAGGGTCTATGTTAGAAGATTGGAAAATGTTTGTATATTTGTACATTTTTTAAGTCAAATAAAATGTTTACAATAGTGCATGTCATTGTTTAAGCATTCTCTGGTTTAACAAACTTTTGAGTAACCAAACAACTCTTAGTTTTGATTGCATTGGATAGGAGGATTTCTACTGTGTTTTGCAGGGGTTGAGAGAGAAGGGTTTTGTTTGTTTTTTATGAAAATAAGTTTAGGAAAGTTGGGGTAAATAACGTTAAAAAGATTCCTTTACTCTAGACCTTCTCAGAGCATTTACTATCCCTACTGTGCATTGTAAATCGCCAGGAGAGAGATAGAGTATGAAATGTTCCTTAAATTTATTTGACCACAGAACCCTTTTCTCCTCTTGGGAACATCTATCATCAACTCAAGGAACTAGTGTTCTGGGGAGCAGAAACGCAGGAGTACAAAATACATACATATGCTTGAAGCAATAAGGTTTTCAACCTACTCACTTTTAGGGGGCCCCCTGGCTGGTTGGAAGAACAACCTTGATTGGCAGTTGTGTGCCTTCAAGTTTCAATTCTGCCTTGGCTTAGGACCCAGGGGCCACTCAGGCACAGAGGGCTCGTGGTTGTGTTAGAGAAATAAAATGCTACCAAACCAAGATGCCCTTCCTAGAGGGAGGAGGCTGCATGGGGCATGGGGAGGAGGTGTTCAGCAAGGGAGAGAGGGGAAGTGCTTTGGCCACCAGGAAGTCAAAGTTTCCTCCAGTCAAAGGACTGGGAACAGACGTAGAGGGAAGAACAAAATCGCAATTTAACCCCAGTGTGCTGTCTCCCTCCCACTCCCATGCTTCTGTCAAAAACTGCTTCGTCTTATAGAAACCATGACCACACACACACTGAAAATAAGACGCATTTGGAGACCACTGACTCCACTTGGCCAGGAATGACTTCTTTTGGATGAATTCTACTCTCCTTGGCTTCCCCTGACTCCTGTCTACAGGTACAGATGCGTGTCTGAACTTGAACTCATGATGAAGAAACATGCTGGGAAGATTTCCCAGCACTCTGGTAAAATAATTCCCCTTCAGCTGAGCCCAGAGCTAAACCCCAAACCAGCTCTGTGGGCATTTGCCAGGTCATGGTCCCCAAACCAGAAGTGTGTGACAGATGTGGTGCCTCGCCAGACTTATCTGTGAGCCAGAGACGTGCCACAAAAAGTACCCTGGAAAAAGTATCCAATTTCTTATCAAAAAATTTCTGAATACACGTCAGCTCTGTCTTGTCAAAGCTTAGACTTATAAAAGCCTTAAATATCTTAAGCGTGATCTTCTAGGCACATTAACTCTTTTGGATTTTCCACTTCAACTGAGCTAGGACAGAGGTGATATGTCTACTTGCCTTTATTATCCTAAAGGAAAAGCAAAATCAGATTTATATCTTTATGATGGAAAGTAGCCAATTGTAGAAGAAATGCGGAATTCCATTTTCAAAAACAAGACCCCCCCCAATAAATAATATAGTAAGTGCAAATACCAGGAGCCCCTGCTCTGTCATATGGATGTTTCTGGGAGGGAGGATTGTGCTGGGCGCTTCCTCGGTGTGCACTGAGTCTTCTGTCAGAAAAGCGAAAGTATGAGTAAGAGATCTCATCTGAAATTAGAAACAGCTCGGAGCAGGGAGGGGCCCTGTGGGTGCTCTCACTGATGGCCAGCACCCCCTCCACAGAAGGGAGTGGGGCCGGGCTTGGCTCCCACCTCTGACTCGGCAGGTCTCTCTCTGTTTCAAGACTTCCCTGGGGCCACGCACAAGGAAGTAGGCTCTACCCAACATAATTAACACACACGTGTGCTTTTGTCCTTCCATATGGAAGTTAAGGAGTGTTGACATACTTCCATGCTTCCATTCCAGCACTGTCATATTATCTTAAAATTTGGTTTTATTTTTTAACAGATAATACATTTACCTGGTTCAAAACTCAAAATGATATAAAAATATAAAAAAATGTATATTTAGAAGTCTTGTTGCTACCTTCGACCTCCTTCTGCCAAACCTATGTAACCACTTTTATTAGTTTTTTTATATACCCTTTCAGTGCTTCTTTATACAAGTACTAACTGATTCTTTCAGTCAGTGCCTATTCACTGAGCACCTACTATATTCTAGGCTACTATATTATAAGCACTCTTTGGGGGAGGCGTTCTCGTGGTCATGGAGCAAAAATCCTTATTCTCGTGGCGTTTATCATCTAGAAAGGATAGACAGACAATAATCAATAAACATAAAAAATAAGAAAATAATGGAGTAGGGAGGATGGTGGTGTGGAGGTTTGAAGGGGGACACATTGCAATTTCAAACAGGGTGGTGAGGATGGACTTCACTGAGAAAGTGACATTTTGAGCAAAGTTTGAAAGAAGGTGAGGGAGTTAGCTATGTGGGAATCTGGGGAAACAGCATTCCAGACAGAAGAACAGCCCATACAAGGCCCTAAGCAGAGCATGCCTATCATACTTATGGAACAGCAAAGACCCGAGTGTGGCTGGAGTGGAGAGAGTGAGGGAAGTCAAAGAGAAAGAGTGAAAGGACAGATCAGGCAGGGCCTTGCGAGGCCGTCAGTGTTTACTCTGAATGTAACGGGGAGCCTGTCCCAGATTGTGAGTGACGTGAGCTGACTTATATTTTAGTAGAATCTCTCTGGCTGCTGCGTTCAGAATGGACGGTGAAGGAAGAAAGTGTGGGAGAAGGGAGAGGCTGGTTTGGAGGCTATTGCAATAGTCCAAGCAAGAGAAGATGGCGGCTCAAAGAAGGCTGGGAGCAGTGGAATTAAGTGGTCAGATTCTGGGCATATTTTTGATCCATTAGTCACTAATGGATTGGGTATTGGGGTATGGGAAAAAGAGAAGAATCCATGATAACTCCAAGATTTTTTTGACCTGAGCAATTGGGAAAATAGAATTGCCGTCAGCTGAGAAGGCAAGTTAGGGAGGGAAGATCAAGAATTTAATTATGTGCAAGTGTAGTGTGAAATGCCTTTTAGAGATCCAAGAAGAGATGCCAAGTGGGCATAAGATCTAAATTTGAGGGTTGTCAGCGTGTGGATGGTATTTAGCCATGAGACGAGATGAAATAGCCAAGGGAGTGTGTAGATGGAAAAAAGGAGGTGGATCAAGGGTTGAGTCCCAAGACACTCTCATGATAAGAGCTGGGGGTCGGGAGGGGAAAAGGAGAACCAGCAAAAGATGCCTAGAAGGAACACACAGTGAGGCAGAGGCAAACTAGGACAGAGTGGTATCCTAATGTCTAGTGATGGAAGTTTCTCAAGCAGGAGGAAGTGAGAAATTGTGTGACATGTTGCTGATAGTCAAGTAAACCCAGTGGGTTCGGCCTTGTTGAGGTCACTGGTGTTTATGACGAAATCAGTTTCAGTGGACTGCTGGAGGTGAAAGCTGCGTGAACGGGTTTAAGAAGGATTTTGAGAGAAGTCACAGACAGGAAGTGTAGACATCTCTTCCTGCGAGTTTTGCTAAAAAGGGGGCAAAGAAGGGAGGCAATAGCTGACAGAGGAAGTGGGGTCAAGAGAAAGATTTTTATGAGGTGGGAGAAATAATGTGTGCTATTGTGAATGATCCAGGAGAAGGGGAGAAGTGATGATACTGAAGAATGCCGAATGTGGGGGACAATGACCTTGAATAGGCTTGAGGGAATATCCTCCCCCTTTATTATATTTATCATATCTTTCTTTTTTTAGTATTTTGTTGAGTTCACATTGGTTTATAACATGGTGTAAATTTCAGGTGTACATTATTATATTTCAGTTTCTGTTTGGACTGCATCTTGTTCACTACCAAAAATCTAATTGCCATCCATCACCATACATACGTGCCCCTTTACCCTTTCCGCCCTCCCCCACCCCTTCCTCTCTGGTAACCACCATATCTTGCTTATAAATGATAATATTTTATATCCACTGTTCTACACCATGAATTTTTCATTTAATCTATGGTTCTTTTCATATCAGTACATGGAGAAGTTCCTCTAGTTTTTTACAGCTGCATACTATTCCATTGGAAGTGGATGTGTTGTTTCCAGGCTTTCACTGTCCTAAGCAATGCTACTCTGAATAACTGTGTATATGCTTCATCTCACGTATGTCAGCCCTGCTGCTGTTTCAATCCAGGAGCTCAAGTTCATAGTCTGTCAGCTCTCAACATTTCTAATCTGACTCTTTCTTCTCTCATTTGGATTTCCTCCCCTTTTTTATTAACTGTATATTCAAATTAATTTTGCCTTATGACATCAGGAATGTACTAACACACATAAATATAATAGCTCTTCATTTATTTCTGACGGTTGTGTTAGGCCAAAATAATTGTTCCCAGATGCATATACAGACTTAATGAAAATAGATGTCATGTAGGATCAATAATAACAGTTGACTCGAGATTTTAGTTATGGTAACAGAATATTGTTCACAGGACATCAGAGGTGCTTTTCCTAATCTTTTCATTAGGAATCTTGTTAAAGATCTTTCTTATTCCCATGTTCTGGAGGATCCTGTGTCCTCACCCACCTCCTCCCTCCCCGCCTCACCCATTAGTTTTTGTGTATTTGGAAATGACACTTGTGTTCAGTGTTATGTCTCAGAGAGTTGCCATTTTGTAGCCATTAACGGTTGTTCAATGTTTCATGATACTAGTGTTGGTATGTTTCTCCCCCCAGACCTTTGGAAACACCAAGTCATGAAAGAAAACTTTTCAGTTATTAGACCACAAATAGTTGAAAAATTTATACAGAGATTAATGGAAAATTACCAGGATGACGGACTAGAGGTATGTACTGAAAATTAGTCATTCTGGAGTGTTTTTTTTTTTAACATAACCCCAAACAAGGAAGAATTTCCCCTTACCACATTGCCTAATGCTTCCCTTACTCCCGTAGAATGAAGATATGAATACTGAGGCTGAACTCGAAGTAGTAATCACTTGTTACCATTGTAATTTTGGAAAAATTTCTAACAAAGATGGGAGAGTAATTAGAATATGCATGTTTGCTGATTTCAGATCTGGCCAATTTTTTAAAGTAAACTTGGAGTTTGTTTATGAAGGAGTTATTTTTAGCAACATTTCCTGTTGATTTTTTAGTATAGAAAATTTAAAACAGAGAAACCAAAATAGCCTATAATACCACTATTAATACAACATTTTTAAAATGTACAATATGAAAAAAATACCTAACAGCTCAGACAGGCAACAGTTGCACCCCTCGTCCACTTCCCCATCCCCAGTTTCTTCTCCACAAAGGAAACCAGTATCAACAGTGTTTTTGTGTATACATATTTGAATCCATAACAACTCTCTTTAAGTATATTTAACAATAATATATACTTAATACATACAACATGCATACACATAGTCTTTGGAGTTTTGAACTGTTTACTCTTGACAGAAAGTGCCTTTCTAAATCAAAAGAATCTGCTGAAAAGGCAGGATAAGAGAGTGTATGTGGATATTTGGCCGTAACAGAGCTTTTAGGATCATGAACAAATTAAGCATAAGTGCATTAGGTAGATATGAATCCAGTTTCCTTCAAAATTCAAATATTTAAAAAAAAACCTGACTTAGCAAAATGTGTTCAATTTTTTCAAAACAATGTTTTCTCCAAATTTACATTTTTCTAAGCTCTTCAAATATTCCTCATAATTTTATAATAAACACTTCTGTGCTTAATTATGAGGTGGAGAATTCACAAGCTTGGTTGGGGATAAATTTCTCTTCACACCTTGATGATTTATACGTATTTGCTGTAAGTTTTCAATTATATCCAAATGTGGTACTGTGCAATCTGATGAGGGGGTGAAGTGGTTCCTTTTGGGTCTCTGCAGCTCAGGGGTTCTCAACCAGAGGTGATTAGGGTAGGGCATGCTCAGAAAATTGTTTGAATCAAAAAATTTTGTGTCTCTTCTTAAAAAGGAAGGAAATTCTGACTCATGCTTCATCATGGATGAACCTTGGAGACATTATGCTAAGTGAAATAAGCCAGTCACAAAAAGACAAGTGCTACATGATTCCACTTATATGAGGTCCCTAAAGTAGTCAAATTCATAGAGACAGAAACTAGAATGGTGGTTGCCAGGGGCTTTGGGGAGAGGGGATGGGGAGTTGTTGTTTAATGGGTACAGAGTGTCAGTTTTGCAAGACGAAAAGAGTTCTAGAGATTGATCGCACAGCAGTGTGAATGTACTGAATGCCACTGAACTATACACTTAAAAATGGCTAAAAAGGTAAATTTTATGTTATGTATGTTTTACCACAATAAAAACAAATAAAAAGTTTGTGGCTCAAGATCTGCTCATCCCCTATCTGTATACTTCACCCCAACACTGAAGGCAGGATCTCCTGGGAAAGAAATGTGGGTATTAGTAGACAGGGCAAACCCATATCCGATACAACTGACACTCAGGGCACACTGCAGAGGTTGGCATCAGCCAGCTGGTGTCTTGGAATAACAGGACCCGAGGATGTTAGGTCCCGCCAAAGTCTGTGCCTGGTGGCTTCTAGCCTCTTCTGGATCATCTGCAGTGACAGGGAACTCACTCTCTTCAACCTGGCCCCCCATTCCTGGCAGCTCTTGTTTCAGGCAGCTCTTACTGAGCTGGATTTGGACTCCCCACCATCTCCACCCGGGATCCTCGTTCTGTCCCTGGGACACCACAGATGGTTCTGACCCCTCACAAAGGGCCTTTAGATACTGAGGGCAGGTCAGTCAGAGAAGCTTAGTGAGCGCCACTGGTAGCATGTGCGAAGCCTCCGTAAAATTACAGTGAACAAACCCAAATAGGTGCCCCTCTGGGTGGTGGGTTACAAACCGTTACCCCTCCCTCCAGATGGGTACAGGACAGGCCCTAAGCCCTGTGCTCCACTCTGGGCCCCTCCAGACGGACCAGGTTCTTTGGACCATCTTTCAGTGGCCAGAAGCCCATCATTGTACTGTCCCCCAGCCTACGTTCTCCATTTGTCCACAAGGACAACATGAGAAACCTTCTCAGAGGTCCTATTGAAATCCGGATACACTGCATCTGCAGAATTTCCTGAGGAAAAGGGTTAATCTGACCTGAACTTTCTTGAACCCATTTTGGCTCCTAGTGATCTTTGCCTCCTTCCCCAAATTCTAGAAAACCAAGCTTTCACAATCAGTTCTAACATCTTGCCCAAATTTTACACCAAACACAGTGGCCTGAAGGTAGAGACTGATCTTTATTGCAAATCAGAACTGCAGTTGTCTATTTTGTGGATTCCAGAACCATTTCCCTTCATATGCCAAGAGTCATTCACTCATCCAGCAAGTGTTTATAGATCTCCTATTTTTTTTTTGCAGGCACTTTATTAGAGATATAAAGGCAAAAGGTACAGTCCCTCCCTCAAAGAGCTTATGGAAACAGGTGAACCAGCAGTGTTAGGAAAAGGCACTTTGCATTAAGTGCTTTGATAGAGGCACACACAGGGTGCTATGTGAGCTCAGAGAAGAGGGACACAATTCAGCTAGGGAGTGGGGCAGGAAGTAGTCAAGGAAGACTTCCTGGAGAAGGTGTTGTTTGGGCCAAGTCTTGAAGCACAAGTAGGAGTCGGCCAGATGAGGAGAGGACGGGGAGGGAAGGCAGAGCAATCCAGGAAAGGAGGATAGCAGAGTTCAGAGAGGGATATTGGAAAGGTGGGCAGGGCCAGATGCTGAATGGCCCTGTGTGCAATCCTGAGGAGTTTGGATTTCATCCCAGAGTCAGTGGGAAGTCACTGAAGCATTTTGTCAGCAGAGGTGGGTTTTAGAAACATCATTAAAACATTTTGTGTGTGCCTGATGGTAGACGAATGGTTATGAGGGACTCCGAGACGAAGCAAACCACAGAAGCACAATTTGCTCCCAGCAGGGCTAGACTTTTGCCATAAGAAGGCCTGGCACCTGCCATGCTTCACCCCAGGCTGGCTCTCCAGAAGACCCATGAGGCAATCTGGTGCTCTTTCAGCCAGCGCCGCCCATCACAGTTCCGGTTTAAGTGTAGGTGAAGGAATCAGCGCACAGGGGGCACTGGGCCAGCGGCCTTCACTCTGTGGTTCTCATGGAACTCAGGGGTCTGCCTTGGAGGGGAAGTTGGCAGGTGAAGCCCCTTCTTGCTGCATTTTGACACAGAGCTGACATTTAGTGACCTAGAAAGGTAGGGTGGGTTGCAGAACAGCTTTTAGGAAACAAATTGCTCTGAGACCTCAAAGAAGGATTGTGCCAACAGAAGCCACATGGGCTGTAGTGCCACAACAGACGCTGCTCAGCTGGCTCCAAACGCTGCCACTGGATGGCCCAGTACACAGTCTGCAGGACAAAAGATCACCTGGAGAGAGGGACTGCTGGGAGCTCGGGAGTCTCCCTGCACCTCTCCGTCACCCCTCAGTCACAACTTCTGTCTGCCCCACCTCAGACATGCTCCCCATTCCATATGCCCATTGTAGATGCTCTGGCTGGGCTCTTTACCCACTCTCCCTGCCTTCACACTCACCAGCTATGTGCCATCCCCTTGAGCTGATCTTTCAGCCCAACCTCCTGAGGCCTCAGCAGAGCCACTGAGGGAAGGAAGCAACACAGCTTCTCTGGCCTCTGGAGATGCTCAAGGGGAGTCCTGGCCGTTCCCACTTTTTTGGTGTAACACAGACTCACCCAAGGGCTCCTCATCCTTGCTGGGTAAAGTATCATGCCGGCTAAGAGGGGATGGCAGAGGGCCACTGTGCTTCAAGTCTGCGTTTCTGTTGGTTTGTGATCCTGTGTCTGTAGTGGCTATGGTGGCAGTAGTTTGAGAAGCGTTTGGCCTGCTGCTCTTGCTCTTGGAGGCTCTCTTGGCACGCTCGGGTCTGGGCACTGCTGTCCAGGACAGTGAGGGGTGAGTCACTGTGGCTGACTCCAAGCACTGGGCCCGGGCCACCTGGATGAGGTCACCAGCCACACCTTGCTGGCCTCCAGTGTGGTCTCATGACTTCTCAAGGCTTCAGGCTTTCATCATACTCAGTCCGGGAAGTGTTTCCTTTGTCATTACTAAATTCACGCAGCCTTGGCCTTTTCACCATAAAGAAGTCAAGGTTCCAGGGGATGGAATCTTGGTTCCCTTTACCTAGGTGTCAGCAGCTAGCTCTGGCTGTCCTCCTCACTTTCCAGGGGCTGGATGGACTACCCTCACCCCCAGAGTGTGCATGTGGGAGGCTGAGCGCCTTCCTGTGCCTGCCTGGCTCCTGCTCATAACATCCCCCGTGAGCAGAGGTTTTCATCTGCTGTCTCCATTCTGCATATCTTGAGTGCTTTCTGCCAACTGGCTACGGTTAATGACCTTTATAAAAGCTTTACTATCTTTTAATTAGTATATACATTTTATTTATACATATATTTTTATATATAATTATTTTAATTATGGATATATTTTATGATTATATTAGAAAATAGAAATATGATTGTTAGAAAATACATTCATAATCTTACCCTCATTGATAACCACTATTATTATTTTGGTGTATTTCGTTCTAAACATTATAATTTTTTTTAAACATGCACTTTTTTTTTAACAAAATAAGATTATTCTATATGCCCTTTTGTTATAGTGCACTTTTTTCACTTGACTATATATTATAAACATGTTTTCTTGTCAATCAACATATGTCCACAGCATAATTTTGGTGGCTGTTTAGTATTTCACCGTCTAGGTGGGTGAGATGGATTCAACCTGTTTTCCATTATTAGATTGTTTCCATTTTTCTTTTCTGTTGGAAATGCTGCTATAAAGACCATCTGTTGACATATATATATATATATTTGTGTGTGTGAGGAAGATCAGCCCTGAGCTAACATCCATGCCAATCCTCCTCTTTTTGGTGAGGAAGACTGGCCCTGAGCTAACACCCGTGCCAATCTTCCTCTGCTTTATGTGGGACACCGCCACAGTATGGCCTGACAAGTGGTGCATTGGTGCGCGCCCCGGATCCGAACCCAGGCCGCCAGCAGCGGAGCGCGTGCACTTAACAGCTGTGCTATGGGGCCGGTCCCTGTTGACATATATTTTTGTGTATAACTTTTATTATTCTCTAAAGATAAATTCCTAGAAAAGGAGGTACTGGATCAAAGGGCATGAACATTTTCAATCTTTTCACAGACAGTCCTAGTCTGCCCTCCAAAATTCCGCACTGATTTCCCCTCCCATCAGCAGTGGTGAGCCGGCCATTCTCCTCACTCCATCAGTACTGGATTTTGTCACTATCTGCCATCTCTGCTAGTTTGCCTCAATAACTTGCCCTGGCAAAATCTGTCTGGGCTTTCTCTGGAGGTCAGTAGGGGCACTGAGGTTGCACTAATAGGACAGTGTCCTGAGCCTCACTGGGACAATGGAACCAGGGCCATGGGAACAACCCCAGGCTGGGAGGACAGCCTAGCTTCCGCAGCAGACTGCTGGTGAGGCTGGAGCTGCCTGACCCTGGAAGTGTCACAGATAAAGCTCATGGAAGCGTGCAGGCTGAATCTTGGAGTGGGTCCCCTAAGACCCCCAGATATGCGCACAGACACACTCATTGATACACATGGGAGGACACACACATAGAGACCTATACAGACACGCACAGCTAGAAACATACACAGAGAAATACAGACACACAGAGAGACACACATATGCATACACTAATGCATACAGACAAACACACAGACATATTCACAAATGCACACAGACACACTCACTGCTGTACACACACAAGCACTCGCATGAACGTGGAGGTCCTAGTCAGGTAGATCTGTCCCATCTTTCACATATTGGCTCTCATTTCTCTCCAGAGCCTAAATCTAAGCCTGCTTTAGAGGGGTGGACTTTTCTTCTGTTCCTTAAAGGCCACCTCTGCAAAAAGGGTTCCCAATCTCCTAGAGAAATGGAGGGAATGGGACTGCCCAGAGTGAGCAGTCTGGCCCTTTGACCAGAGCAAGAGGGACCCCTGCCTGATGCCCTCTGGCTCTCCTCCAGCCCCACCCATCCCCACAGGGTGAGATATCCCTGTGGCCAAGGGGTCGTGTCCACTCAGATCCCTGGCCTCCCTTCTAGACCGTGCTCCAGGTACCCGGGACCCTGGAATTCCCTGAGCCCGGGGCCTCTTCCCCAGATCACCCTCCCCAGAGGGAGAGTCGGACCTCACCGCCAGTGTGCACACCGTGACCTGAGGCATGGTCAAGGGCAGCTGTGTGGGGGTGTGAACGGCTGGGGTGTCTGCTTACATGCATGCAAGGGTCCTCCACATGATGTGAGGCCAGAGGTGGGAAGAGAAGGTCATACTGTAAACTATGGGTTGGGGACCAGCTCTCCCCAAGTCACCACATTTCACCATAGAACTCAGAGTAGTCCAAGAATGATAAATTTAAACGTAGCCTTCCAAGTGATTTTGAAAGTCTGTTTTTCAAAGTAGAAGAATTAAACATTTTCATTTTAATAATTTCTTAGTTTGATTTATAACCTTTAAATATTTGGGATGCTGAGACCTGTGGTATGTGGGCCTCCATTTGTACTCTTATTCCTGGTCCTGCAAATGCTAAGAGCAGACTTGAAAGAGAAGCTTGCAAGGCAAGAGCCGATGTTTTTCTACGGAGGAGAAATGGAAGTGAGTCTGTGAGGCAAGGCAATGTATGCCATGAGCCCTGGTATGGTGAGGCTGCCCTGGTGGAGCTGCTGTGAATGATACCCCTTCCTTTTCAGATCACTTTCAGGAAAGACCACCTTGAGGCCTGCCTCCTTTCCCTGGGTTGTGATGTGATGGCAAGAGAACGCAGCAACTTCGAGAGCTACTCCATGTGTTATGAGCATGTGTTGGAGCATGCTAGGCAGAAGCTCTTCCAGAAGGAGCAAGTATGTTCCCAGAGAGACAAGAACTGCGTTGGGGAAGGTGTGGGTAGGCAGGCTCAGGAGTCACTCTGAAGAGGAATGGGGGGAGGTGTTCTTATGCAAGAATTGAGAGTGAATGGTACTCCCCCAATTTCTCTTCTCATTGGCTCATTTGCTTGGGTTCTGGTATTCTCAGCAGCAAAGTTGAGGGCCTCAGCAACACTGGGTTGTGTGCTTAGGAGGCGTCTAGTGGGGAATATAAGAGGTCAGTGACAAAGGAGCTGGTCCCCCAGGGCAGATGCACAGCTGACCTTCCCACCCTCAGCAAATACAAGGCACCTTGTGCTGTTCCTGATCTAGCAACGAAGCCAGGATCCTTGAGTCGACTCTGTCTTCAGGATGCACATCATGGGTCTGTCTCCCTGATGAGACTTCCATAAAATGAGATCCCACTGGTGGGCTCCAAGAGTCACTTCTCCTGTCCTAGATTACATACAGTTTTGAAATGGATTGCATCAGAGGTTCAGTGTAATTTTAGTTTGTACCTAAGAAAAGTGTTAAAAGTCTGAAAAAAATCAAATGAATCATTAAAATATCAAAAAATGAGTCTTGACTTCACCCCCCATTTGGCTTATCTCCATAGCTGAGTCCTCTGCATGAGTGTGAGTACCTGGAAGTTGGTGCTGTCTTTTGATGCTGTGTTGGGCATCCTAAAGTCCAATGGGGCAAGAAGGGCAGTCTTGGCTCCAGGTGGGGCCCAAGAATCTCAAAATGAAGCTCCAAAAATGGGAGGTGTCTGGAGCACGTTGTCCTGAATTGAGCCGCAGTTGGAAGAATAAATGTTTGAGTTTGGTTGTACACTGCTTTCTTCTCTTCAGGAATTAGAGGTTTTACGAAGAGGGCAGAGTCCACCTGAAGACAATGCTGGTCAGGTAGGTCCTCTATTACTAGAAAGCTTCTCTTCTCCATTTCCCAAATCTACATTCTCAGCAGTAGCCAGACATGGCACTCCTGGTATCATTTTCTTGTGCACCATCAGGGGAGGCCTGTAGAAGTCCTACCAATGAAGGTCCACTGCAGAAACCCTCCAGGAGTGTGCTTTCATTTTTTAAGCCGTGAGGGCATTTTTTTTTTAAGTTTTTTGGTGCTTTTTGTTATTTTTTTATTGCTTTTTAATTGTTTAATCTTTTTGTTGTTATTTTTGTGGTTTGTTTTCTTTTGAAGCCAGTTAAAGTGCATTCCAAAGAAAAAGAGGTATTTAGGCTGAGGTGTCACGGGAAGGCCAGTTTGGAAATGGAGGTCAAGACAGTTGAAGTATTGCCTCCAAATGAAATGTGCTTAAGTAGTGTTTCTTCTGTGGTCGTTCATTCAGCCACCATTTATTGAGCACATACTGTGTGCCTGGCACTGTTCTGGGACCCTTAAGCCAACCTTAGATCCTTCCACCCACATTTGCACAATGGGATATTCGCCTTCCTCATTACGTTCAAAATTAAAGTGCAAATTCAACATTGGTATACAAAGAGCTATTTTGTAGTGGCAGTTTGGGCCTTCCTGAATTATTTTCCATTTAAAAAAGTTTCTGCTGCTAGGTTGCAGAGCTCAGTCATACTATGATCATGGAAATCACTGCTCTGAGAGCCCAACTCACGGATTTGGAAGAGGAGAATCTGATTCTCAAAAAGCAGATTAGAAAAGACGTCCAAGAAGAATATGAAGCCTTAGTCCAAGCTTTGTTTGTGATATGTTTACACATCAAAGTAAGTGACCTGTGTCGGACGTGTGAGCAGTCCTGTGGGGAACCAGCGGTGACTGACCCCATAGCAGCTGCACACAGAGGGATCCATGACAGAATGCGCTTGTGGTCATGAGATTGCTGGGCCTGAGAATTCTCCAGCTTTTAGATGCAGAGAGTGAGTCAGCCACGTGTTATCATTATTTTATGGTGATAGACACTCGATTTTAGATAATTTAGAAATGTGATATTTTCCTCACTCTACTGCCAGGTGTTGTTGTTGCCGTCTGATTGCTGTTGAGGGAAGGGTGGCTTCTTCTTCTCAAAACCCTAATAGTTTATGTCCCTGTTTTGTCTACTGAAGGTGACCACCCAAACAGGAGAGCCCAGCACCCTGGGCCAGGCCAGACCCCAGTGTAGGTAGCAACAGGCACCTCTTGAGAGCTCACTGGGCAGATTCAGAATTTCAGTCAGCTTTCAGAGATTTTTCCAACCCTCAAAATGCACAATGCCAGCCTTTCTCTCACATCTGGTGTCAGGGAGCTGCTGACCTGTTGGTGAAGGCCCATCCAGAAGAAGAGTGATGGGTGCCCATGTGCCCACAGTACTAGGGAAGCCTGTCCCTTTCTTATGTCTGAGCAGCTGTAAGATGGAGGCCCCATCCCTCCAGTGGACCATCACAGAGCCTGGTCCAGCTACCGCACAAGTGTGGATTTCAGTACAAACCTACCAGCCCCCAAGTCCACAGCTTCCCCCAAACCTGCCCCCTTCCCTGCTACTGGATGTTCCCCAGAGCCAGCTCCAATTGGCTTACCTCGCTATCTCTCCCAGGGGGATTCCAACGTGGTCCCTGAAGTTGTGACATTGAGAGGAGCTTCCACCGATGCTCTGCCTCGGCCTGGTCATTCCAAACAGGATTGGAGATTCCTTCTTATTTGTGAAGCATTCACAAAATACAAGTGCTTACAAATATTAAAGGGTCAGAACCAAAATGCATTGGGCCTGGCGCCTCGGGGGAGGGGTGAGCAGACAGAGAATTCTAGAATTTGCTAAGCCATCTTTCAGGTATAAAATTGTTGAAAAATTTCTTAAGTTCTTTTTAGCTTCTGCCAGATTCCTAGACAAAACATGGATTCTCTACTTCTCCCAGGCTAACCTAGTTCCACAAGCCCCCCACAGTAGGGAATCCCTGTTCTACCCCAGGGTCCCAAGAGAGTAGTAAAGATTTTGCTCTGTGGCCAGAGGCCAGGCTTTCTGCCATGACTCCCCAGCTGGGCACTATTGCCCTGCTTTCCTCTCCAGGGAAGTGGTTCAGAGGTGAGAGGGCACCCCACTCCCACCCCTCACCCAAGGATGCTGGGTCTCCAGTTATACTTACCAACCATCCAGCCATCTCACCATAAGCCGTTAGCCACAAGCCATTCAGAACAGGCTGTTCATAATGAGATTTCTGCTGGAGCCTACCTAGGAAGGCAGCCAGCCTGATTCCCTCCTCTGCTTCGTCTCTTTTTAATGGAGTTCCTCCTTAGTGGCTCATCTACAGTGTTTTATCTGATTAGATTCTGCTGAGTCAACCTGATGGCAAAAATCCCCAGGTTTAAATTCCCAATAACCCTTTGGGGGAGGGAGCGATTCGGCTTTCCACCTGTGACCTCCCACTCTTTACGCGCTCAGCTCTCCTTGGCGTCGGCCGACCTGGGCAGGCTCTAAGATGTGCAGGTGTCCACGGGACAAAGCCCTGTGGATTGAAGACAACACTGAAGGGCCGCTAGTTGAGACTTCCAGATATTACCTGATGGAATAATTAATTGTCTGGGTGGATGATTTTTAAATATGAAATCATTTCTGAAAGTTGGGTTTTAGAAGGCAAAATGACTCTTCCTCAACTGCCCTTCCTAAACTTGAGTCTGCAATTTGCAGGAAAAGCTGGATGAGAATCAGCTTAATTTGATCCAAAAAGTGTGTGAGCTCATCGATGAAGTAAGAACAGAAGGGATTGACAATCTGAAGGGCCTAAAGAAAAAATGGGGCTCCGCCAGACCTAATGAAGAAATGAAAGAAAACCCAGCCAAAGTAAGTGATTTCATTTAGCAACAGGATATCAGCATATCATCCTAGCATCCGACTCCACCGCTCACTGTTGCATTCCGGTCTGGTTTCCCCGAGAAAGCATTGCATCAGGCATTTAAAAAGGGCACAGGGGCTCACTGCACAATTATGTCATCTTCTAGAAGGCATGTTTCTGATGTTAGGATTTGTGCCCTTCCTGAGAAGAATGTTGGGGCAGCCTTTTCTGAAAGTGAGCCTTCTTGGCAGGAGCAGCTGTGGGCCTTGGAGCAGGACAACTGCAGCCTGGCCGCCCTGGTGTGCAAAGCGCGGAGCCTGGGCCAGTGGAGGCTGGCTGTGCAGCAGGCTCGTTTCCAGGGCCAGCTGAGCAGAGCCGAGAAGGTGAGCAATGGGGGAGGGAGGCCCTGCCCAGCAGGATGGGCGGGGGAGGTGGGAGGGTGCAGACTGGCCTTCTTGGCTGCAGCTGCTGCGCTGGTGTCGCGTGGCAAGACAGACCATCTTAAAGGATCTGACAGTTGGGGAGTTTTCCTGGAAATGGGTAATGTCAGAGCCTCGGGAGAAAATAGGAAAGAGCCAGAAGCAAATGGCAAAGAAGTAAATGGGAGAACAGATCAGAGAGTTTAGCAGACGAAAAGGAAAAGATGGAGGAGAGACTTTATCGAGGGCTTGAGGCACCTTCTTCAAAATACTGCAACTCTTTGAGTTGCTAACATGATTATCTGAGGAAAATGAAGTACTAACAAAATAATAAGTGGAAAATCTGCTTTAAGGCAAACTGAAACCAAAGCACTTATTGATAGCGGTTTGGAAACTTTCACTTACTGCTTCTGAAAGTCTTGACTTACGCCAACCTGTCACACTGTTCTTAACTGAAATCACGGAGGCCGTGACCAGCAGGAGCTCCGTTCGACCAGAGGTGTCAAAGAATGATGGATGATGAAGTGGTTTAGAGACTGCTTATGAAACTAAAACTGTGAAAAGGAAACTTATTTCGTATCTTACTGTGTTTGGGATGTTCACAGGAAGCTATGCAAAGTAAAAAAGAGTGTTTGAGCATCAAACTAATGGCAGAACAAGAAGTGGTTTTATTTCGTCAAGAGTTACTGGCTCTGGGCCGGCCCCGTGGCTTAGCGGTTAAGTGCG